TTATATTCACCCATCTATTTTTTTTATTTTTTAAATATATTTTATTGATTTTTTACAGAGAGGAAGGGAGAGGGATAGAGAGTTAGAAACATCGATGAGAGAGAAACATCGATCAGCTGCCTCCTGCACATTTCCTACTGGGGATGTGCCCGCAACCAAGGTACATGCCCTTGACCGGAATCGAACCCGGGACCTTTCAGTCCGAAGGCCGACGCTCTATCCACTGAGCCAAACCGGTCAGGGCCTATTCACCCACCTAGAGCTCAGACAACCCTAGAAGGACAGTCACATGCCCATCCAACAGATGGGGAAACTGAGGCACAGAGCGGTGCCGCGTTTGCCCATAAGGAGTGAAGCCAGGGTATTAACACTTCTATTTTCTCTGTCTCTCTGGCTCTGGGTTTATCTCCAGGTTTCAGTGCTTCTCTCTTAAAAGTCAAACTCCAGGTCTATCTGAATCCAAACTCTATAGTTTTAAAAAATATATTTTTATTGATTTCAGAGAGGAAGGAAGGGGAAGAGAGATAGAAACATCAATGATGAGAGAGAATCATTGATCAGCGGCCTCCTGCACGCCTCCTAGTGGGGATCGAACCTGCAACCTGGGCATGTGCCTTGGGAATTGAATCATGACCTCCTGGTTCATAGGTCGATGCTCAACCACTGAGCCACACCGGCCAGGCCAAACTCTATACCATAGTTGTTGTTGTTGTTGTTTTTAGGTTGTAGAATACATTACATATAGCATCTACAATTGTATCTGTATTTATAATAGTGATAAAACCATTAATAATAAGCAGCTATAACTTGCTAAGCGTTTCTGTGTCTGGCACCGCACTAAGTACCGGGCCTTGACTGACTTCTTCCGAACAGAGGAGAGGATAAAAGGGCTGAGCAAGCACCGAGGCTCATTCCTCGGGGGCCGGCGTCGCTGGGGAGCCCTGCAGAAGCGAGAGGTCTCTCCCTCTTCCAGCCTGGATGAGATCTTCAGCTGGAAGCGATCATATACCAGGTGAAACCCAGCCGGAGAACACCCTGTCCTGCACGGGGAACAGAGGACTGAGTGGGGCGAGCAGCTGCAGCTCTTTGCCACTGATTCAGCCCTTTCTTCTTTTCTGGTCTGTGGAGAGAGAGGGAGCTCCCAGCTACCTGCTACTTACTTGACCCTGAGCAGAACTCCTGCCCAGGCTCTGCTCCACACATTCCTGCTCATCCTGGTCAGCAGCTGGATACTTCTGGTCATTGTCTCCTGTCACCGACCGTAAGCCAAACACTAGCACCGTTTAAACCCACGGACTCAGGATAAAATGCTCTCTCGCCAGCAATGACTACAAGAAGATGAGTTTCTGTGTCATTGGGCAGCTCTGCTCCACATAAATAATCAGCTCTGTGACCCTGATGCTCAAGCTGAAGCCACTTCTGTAGTGAGGACAGGAAGTTTGCATCTCAGTCCCACTTCCCTCATTTCATTCTGCGGTTGTGGCACCCTGCTGACTTCATGCACATCGTGGATGTGGCCTCGAAGAGCCGCGTGGCTGTGTCTGCCTTGAGTGAGAGAAAGGCGGCAGCGGCCCTCAGTGCAGTGCTGAGCTGCGGTCACTAAGGCCACAAGGGAGAGACGGCGAATGCCTGTCTGGAATACTAAGGCCCGTCTTCTGCAAGTTTCCATTGGGAATGGAGCTGATCTGAGGCTTCAGCCTAGGACTCAAGCCTCACTGGACAGATCCCAAGGATGATTTTAGGAACAGGAAGTCCTCGAACACCGTCTACTAGACCATGGCTCAAGAAGTCAGACTCTCAGGGACTTTAGCTGCTCCCTCGGGTACCATTTCTGGGGATTATTACTCCAGAGAGCTCTGGCCAGAGCTGCTTTTCTCTTGGGAGGTGGGCTTTCTCTAAGTGGTGAAAAGTATAAACCTCATACCTTAGGTGTTGTCTGGCTAGCTGCCCTCTTTTCTGACACTACTAGTAGCCTCTCCATCTCCGGAACCTGGAGAAACATCTGGGACCAGGGAAAACAAAAAGTTCCAAGATGTTGGCTAGAACTGACTCAGTAATTTATAAATATTTCACATTACTATGCTTTTTCTGCTCAATTATTCCAAAGGCCATTCATGTAGATGCAGAAAGAGCTTCTTCCTGGATCTGAATGGGGTGTTTGGTTTTATGAGGAATAATGCTGAAGACCAGTGTAAAGTAAGGTATTGTACACATTGACCCAGGCGTCCTGGTGTGGGTTAGACCATTAAACAATACAACAGGTCATCCGATTTCATGTGCTGCTAAGAGCTTTGTCCTGAAGTTTTATTTTACTTCGTCATTGAGAAAAAGGGCATCCGTTTTGACTGGAAGCGTCATCCTTGCCTCACAAACAGCAAAGCAAGTTTAAAGGGAAGAGATATTTACTGAAGCCATGTGCTAAGACAAGGACTTCCTGGGGCCATGATTTCAGGTTTGGATAATCTTAAGCCTTATTCTTCTAGATCAAAGAAGAAGAAACTCTGAACTATCCAAGAATCTAAACTGAAGTGCAGACAACATGCAATTGTCTAAGGCACATTCTCCTGTCATGAAAAAAAATGACCTCCCTCCTTTCCCACGTCTTGCTCCTCCGCACACTCCTCATCTAAAGGTCTTTCACTGTTTCTGAGCAGGAGGAATAACAAGGAACTGAAATCTAAAGAAGCCGTTCACTGCTGGTTAACAGCCTCCTTGTGAGGCTTGGTGCAGGAGAACTGCTGACGTCAGCCCCCTCCCCCCAACATCAGTTAATTAGGGGCCCACAGTCCCATATGCAGGACCCTAGGATCACTCCAAACTGACTGCAGAATGGGAAGCAGCCCACTGGTTTTAAACACCCTTGTTTCTGGCTTAAATGGCCTGCAAAGTCTAAATCTGTATTGCCAGGTACCCCAGAACTCTGGTTCTTTAAGATAATAGTTTTTAGAGAAGTCATGGTTGGTTTCCCTTTCCTTTTTATACCGGCAGGCGGCGGGGATATAAGATATATATAGATATGTATATATATATATATATATATATATATAGAGAGAGAGAGAGAGAGAGAGAAGGATAATTACTGTCTTGAAGGCCCTCAGATAGGCAGGACAGTTCTAGTCCAAGCTCCATTAATTCTCTTAGGTCCACAATCCTAATGACCTAAAGCAGCAATTTTTAACTTTTTTCATTTCACAGCACACATAAACTAATTATTAAAATTCTGCAGCACACCAAAAATATATTTTGACGATCTGAAAAAATAGATATGATTTTGATTTATAAAAATAACTAGAGATTTTATTATCTGATTCGTGTACGGGTGGGGTCCGGCCGGCCCGCCCCGATCGGGGACAGTTGGGCCAGGCCAGCTGTGGGGAGGGGCCATGGGCATGTGGTGGGCCGATTGAGGGCAGGGCTGGCAGGGGGAGAGGCCACCAGCCAGCCCCACCCCCTGGTTGAACTCCAGGTCGAGGGGACAATTTGCATATTTGCCTTTTATTATATAGGATAATAATACTAATTATTTACCCTTATTGCTCCAAAATGACTTTTTAAAAAATCAGGTGTCTATACTTGTATATAAAGATTTCTGGTACCAAGAATTAACCAATCAGATGCAAACTTATTATGCAACATAACCAACAAGATGCAATTCTATTATATGACCTATATATTTATGGTTCAAGACACAACATTCACACCAGACAGCTATTGTTGTGTTGGCTGTTGTCATTTTTTAATTTGACAGCTGAAGGGAATAGAGGTCAGTGTCTCTGACTAAAGAGTTGAGTATTGCACATTTTAGAAATTTCTTGCGACACACAGGTTGAAAATCACTGACCTAATCCCTTAAGTATTTCTCCATTCCCCTTGTGCCAGATGTGCTCATAGCCTATCTCAGGAAGCGGCTTATCTCTCATCTTCCCCTCGCTGCTTGACAACAATCACTGCTTTTTAGCTCACTTTTGCCAAGAAAGTATAGCTCCTGTTCAAACAGGTTTGGGTGACCCTGTCTTTCAGTCTCACGATAAAGGAATCACCAAATGGCTCTGCTTTGGTTAATGACTCATTATATGGAATCGGCTTGAGGAACCCCAGAGACACTATTCTGAGAGTGTGTGGCCCGTGAACAAAATGACAACTTACGAGTTTGAGAAAGCAAGAAACAAACATAACAAAACCAAACCCAAAGAAGGACTGCTGAGTTGAAGTTTTCCAGGTAGCAAGGCTTTAGCCACCCTCGCAGGCCTCATTCACTTGCTTGACACCCTTTTGGTCTTTTCACTATTTATGAACACCTTCAAATGATAAGAAAGAAAAGCCCACTGATTTGAAGGAGGCATTATCTCAGAAGTGGAGACTGAGTCCTCTGTCTCCACTCATTGTTTCAAGATGCAGGAAGCAGACAACTGCCTCTGAAGGTTTGAGTTCTACTAAGTTCAGCCCTCTGACACCGAAGACTGTGCTAAGCTATAATTTCTGTTAAAGACTTAATATTTTATGTATTTATACATAGGCTTCTGGGGTGGCTTGGCTGGAGTCAAAGGTATGAAAAACAAAGCACAAAGTCCTCACTCTGAGAAGACACAATTTCTGTTTTGAATGAAGATATCCTTTCTAAGACTTGAGTATTGTTAGAAAAGAGGTCTTGACACAGGAAGTGTTATCTTGCCTTTATATATAAAACCTCAAAACCACCCGGACACAGAAGCTCCTCTGTCCTCACCTTCCATCCAGACCACAAGATCCTTTGTCAGTCACTCTGAGTAATGCCAAACTCTCTTGCTTTACAAATGAACTTTAGCATGAATTTCTGTCCTTGCTTAAACAAGCAGACACACTTGGCCACTTTGGTAGACCTTGGTAACAATGCCAATAGAAGTATTTTTGTGATTCTTCAGCCAAACCACAAAGGATGGCATCAGAAATTGTATTCACTAGTTACCACAATTGGAAGAGATGAGATTGAGTTGTACCTAGAGAATATCCGAACGCCCGGATATGGGATGAATGCCTCAGGAAACAGTAAGTTCCACATCAGATGTGGGATAGACAAACTAGACTGCCACTTGGCACACATTATGGAGGGGACATGTGCCAAGAAATAAGGTGGCCCAAGATACATATAAGCTCTCTTCTCATCTGAGAGTCGGTGAGTTAAAACAGTGCTCACAGCCCTAACCGGTTTGGCTCAGCGGATAGAGCGTCGGCCTGCAGACTCAAGGGTCCCAGGTTCGATTCCGGTCAAGGGCATGTACCTTGGTTGCGGGCACATCCCCAGTAGGGGGCGTGCAAGAGGCAGCTGATTGATGTTTCTAACTCTCTATCCCTCTCCCCTGTAAAAAATCAATAAAAAAAAAAAAAAAAAAAAACAGTGCTCACAGTGGGTTGTAAAGACTTCTGGTTAATTTATGGGTTTGAGGATCAGGAGATCACAGACCTATGAGTTGGAGATGACAAAGATCTTAATAAAAATAACCCTGCCAAAGTGACCAGAGGATGTTAAGATATCCAATAATTACGCTCTAAAGTGTCCAGGAAGAGCTATAAGTTGAAGGAAAAGTGGAATTTCATTAAACCAATAAAAGACACTAACACAAAAAAAATGTAATAAGGGAATACCTTGTTGTAGGGTTCATCACTAGGATGGTTGAACAAAAATCTCTCCATCTTGTTTGCCTCTGAATAGCAAATAAATTGCAGTCTCCCTGCAACAATGGAATGTCATTATTTTTTAAATCTCCAGAAAAAAAAGGTGCCGTTTATCTTCTGAAGTCCTCTGTGTACTGAGCATGCTTACCTACCTGTGGAGGGCCTCCCGGCACATTCTCTATTCACTGGTTGTTGCTTCACTTCTGTCCCCTAACACTAACCGGTGGCAGCTCTGTTTAATCAACAACCAGCCCTCCTGTTCTGAGCTAATAATTTCCCAGCAGGCTCAAAATTCCCTGATCATCAAAGGTACCTACATAGAGATATTTTCCAGTGGACAATTAGCAACTTGTGTATTGATGAGAGTACTGAAGGAGTTTGGAGATGTGGGTTCTAGTTTGTACTTCATCAGTGACTCCTATGTCCTTGGGAAAGTTATTTTGAGTTGTTCTGTATGAAAGGACTGAGACTATGAATAGGCCTTAATTTAGGAGGTCTGTTAGGATATGAGATAGTAAAAGCAGGTAGATCCCATTCTCCATGTCTGTTTAACTCAATGGAGCTCAAAGACCTCTCTGATGAGGTGGCATTTGCTTTCAGATCAGAATTGATTATCTAATTCTTATAAGGCCAAGAAGTTCATTATTAATTCCACTGCAAGGTTGGAAAGAGCCTGGGAGAGCAGCACACTTTGAGGCTCACAGTCCGGCTCCTGGGTTGCCCAACTGAGGCCCAAATCTCCCCACCCACCATCTAAACACCTGCATGTACTCTGATAACCAGGTTATGGTGGCTAATAGCTTTCACACTGTTCATTTGTTCCAGCCAAGAACCATCTGTTTTCCTACTTTTCATAGATGAAGTTTCAGCGATGATGTGACTTTCAAGATCTCACAATTAGTATGGTGGGGCTAAAGACAGAACCCAAACCACTGCTCTTTATATTTCATTTGCTTTTTCTTAATCACTGGCTGAGATGACAGTAAATAATGCTCATTTTATACTTTATAATATAAAGGATAACAAAAGGGGAAAGAATGTATCTTTAAAGCTGCTGGAGTATACAATTCCATGGGAGAGCTATACACATTATAAATGACACTCCGAAATTTATTGTATAGTTGCATACCCTTAGCAACTCTGTCTCCCTCTATCCATTAAGAACAAGTATCTGGCCCAGTCAGCGTGGCTCAGTGGTTGAGCATCCACCTATAAAACAGGAGGTCACGGTTTGATTCCCTGTCAGGGCACGTGCCCAGGTTGCAGGCTCAATCCCCAGTGTGGGGTGTGCAGGAGGCAGCCAATCAGTGATTCTCTTTCATAATTGATGTCTCTCTCTCTTCCTCTCTGAAATAAAAATATTAAAAAAACACAAGTATCTGAAAATACAGTAGCAATTAAAGTCACAAATTGCCAACGACGCATAGAGAACCCTGGTTCTGCAGCTGGCATCACTGACTGAGATGCAGGTGACAGCACTGGCTTATAACCACTGGGGCTGTGGAGCTGACCACTGTGGTAACTTTGTTTCACATTTCTTTTAGTCAAGTAGGATAGGCTTTAAACCCTAAGCATAACTCAGAACATCTTTGATGTTTTTAGCCAATGACATTTGTTTTGTGTTGTTGACATAGGATACATACAGGCTAGAAGCAGATGTTGTCTAATTCTCTCCTTCCACTATAGCTTGAAGAGCCCAATTGGGGTGGGGGTGAGGGGAGTGTGATTAAGCAGAAAGAAACCTTGTTTTGTAAATCCCTTTTGAGTTCCTCCAAATTCAAGGTGGGATGCTGGAAATGCTGGAGGTAAGAGACCTGGGAACTAACCTTGGCTCTGCCACATAGTTGTTTGACCCAAGCAATGAAACACTAAATAAATGTTAATCTCAAAATAGCTCAATATCAATATTCTGGGAGTTAAAAAGCTATATTAAGCCTGGCTGGTGTAGCTCAGTGGTTCAGCATATACCCATAAACCAGGAAGTCACAGTTCTATTCCCAGTTAGGGCACATGCCCAGATTTTGGGCTCAATGCCCAGTAAGGGGTGTGTAGGAGACAACTGATCAGTGTTTCTCTAATCTGTTTCTCTCCCCTCTCTCTAAAATAAAAACATACTTAAAAACATATATATAAACCCCAGTCCTTGAAATCCCTCTTATTCATTAGCCTTCTGAAAAAAATGTCACTTTAACAGTATTTTAAACAAAGGAACTAGATTAGATAATCTACCCCATATAGGGCTAAAATGGGATGGTTTTCAAATCTGGTAAGATAAGTCCAGATGAAGCCACCTTTTGAAGCTTTACATAAAGTCCAAGACCTGCATACATCTGTGTCTGTGTGGAAGGAGTTGTAGTTATGTAGACCACAAATAGGTCTATACCAAACTTAAGGACCTGCATCAAACTGTTAGAACCTGAAGAGCCATGACACCCACAACACAATAGGCTGCTTCACTCTATGGACAAACAGAATTTCAGGCAATTAGACTAGAGAGTTCATGGCTGTATCAGAGAATTTTACTCTTTCCAATATCTTATTAAAAAAATATATTTTTACTGATTTCAGAGGAGAGAGAGAGAGGAAACATCAATGATTAGAATCAGTTGCCTCCTGCATGCCCCATACTGGGGGTCAAGCCCAAAACTTGGGCATGTGCCCTAACTGGGAATCTGTGACCTCCTGGTTCATAGATCGACACTCAACCACTAAGTCACACCGGCCGGGCTCTTATTCATTTTTATAATCTCAATATCCAGCATACTGCCTGAGATCAGTAATTACACTTTATTTTTATGGGAATTAAATTACCTAAAAAAAAACTGCGCAGACACGCTGTGTACTAAAATTACTTTATTACAGTTGATTTTTTAAACATTTCCTTTGCTATGATACAAAGGATACTTACAAACAAAATATTACATATGACCTTGTTTTCGCTCTTAAGTTCTGACAACTTGGTAACAGCTTTAAATGCACAATCTATACAATTAATACAGGTTATATATGAACTATAAGGTATGTTGAACCAGAAGAATACTGACAATATACTGTACATAAGCCTTACCAGTTAGTGCTGTGGACCATTTCTACCAAAAGGAAAATGCACACCTGTACAGTCACCTTTACCAGCTGGTGCTGACAGTGAGGGAGAGGCTTCCTCCCCATTGCAACCCTCGACAAGCCTCCACTGTGGGCATCTGTTTGGTCCGAAAATTGAGAGGACTGTATATATCTGAAATTAGTCATCTGTAAAGTGGAAGAACATCACTTTCAAGATGATAATCTCTCTTACACACAAAAAAATCAGTCCTAGTTTTAGAAGACCACGAGTCCTTCGTCCACTACAAAAACCCTACAGGCTCAAGGGCTTTAGGAGATGAGAAGATGTAGGCTGCCAAAAAAGGAGGCAAGAAACCAAGCCAAAATCTAGGTCTTGCAAAATCATCATTTTTCCCTTCACCAAAGGGAACTAGAAATGTACAAATTCATTGATGAACCTCAATGATAACATCAGTTTGCTGATAACCCTCATTTTATCTGGACCCCTGACTTGTGGGAATAACTAAAAGAGATTGTAAATAATATATACCACTTTTAGAAAGGAACCTCTTGTTTAGTTAAAATATTCCCTTTAGCCACCAAAGCTGGTCCTAGGCTATTACAGGTGTGCATTCATCTCTCAATGGTCTACTCAGAAATGATAAGGTTACAGCTTTTTTTCTTTCTTTTTTATTTTTTAAATAAAAAAGCAATTGACTGAAGCATTTTTCTTTTTCTTTTTTTTTTTTAGGTAAATAGCAAAAATAAAAATAAAAACCAACCCTGGCATTTGCACAAACAATGCAAATGGAGCGATATGGCCTTTAAGGTAAGGGGTTAGTAGAAAGGAAGAGAGAAGTGAAGAAAACCCAGAGAAAATGATGTATTAATTTTTCTTCTTAAAAATTTCTACAATACATGTGCAAAAAAATCATGCTGGTTGAGGAAAACAAAGAGAAATGAGTATATAAAATTAAAAACATAAATAATATGTTTGGATGACTGGTAAAAGCAGAGACCAACCTGGGTTACAAAAAGGATTATACATTCAAGATGCTCTTAAACCCAGTGGGATAACTTATGTTAAAACTGTGTTAATAGTTACGTTAAAAATCTCAAGTTTGTTTTTAAATCTTCACAATACAAGCAAAGCTGTTTTAAAATATACACTATACATATTTCTCATAGTCTCTCCAACCTCATTAATACGCATTAGGCGATCTCTTTCATATACTAAAACAAGGGGGTTCTGAAAGCTAAATTGCTCAGAGTAACCCATCCATTATTTAAATGTCATAAGTTTTAAATGGGTTAAAAATTTTAGCAGACTTACATAAATAGGATTTAGCAACACAAGTGTTAATTTAAAAAACTCTAAAGCATTTACAAATTATCAGGTTGGAATAGTCTGGGGGAGTTATGTGCACTGTACTTTAAAACGTTATTTACATCAGACCATCGATTTTGTAAAAATTTCCCTAAAAGATAAAAAACAAAATAAATTTGGAGAATTAACTTTTTCTAACCTCGAAGAGAAGGATCATAAAAGGGAAGGTAAAATAAGAACAAAATTATCGCTTAATAGAAACCTTACATATCCCTCTCCACTTGGATTTTGCTCTATGAAACCACCTGCCACTCCTAATAGGCTCATATATCAAGTGTCACGATAATGTGGTAAAATACTTTGTCAAATAAATTACTGGCCTCAAGTGGACTTTTATTTTTTTTTTTTTTTTTTTTAAAATTTCCACCTTGTGACTCTGGCTTGGATTTTAGGGCATGTGTATGTAATTAATTACAGGGGCACTTTAAGTAGGCACAATTCCCATTTAATGTGGAATAAAATGTGTAACACAAAATGCTACTGGGGAGAAGGGGTGGTAGTTTCTGTGATACTATGAAATGCAAGGGAGCACATGTGGAATGGGCACCAAAAAAGAGCTGTCTGGCAACACACCAGGGGCAGCCAACATATTAAACTGAATATACCTGCCTATGACAAAAAAGGGGGTTAGAAGGGTTCCAATACCCCTCTCTTCATTTGTTTGATATCAAATAGTCACATGGATCAGCCAGAATCTGCAAACATTAAGCAGTTACATCTTTTTAAATCACACAATTCACTCCATGACCATGTACAATTTATAGTAACAATAATGTTCATGCTGAGGCAATGTATTTGAGGGCTCAGAAAAAGCAAAATGTGCCACTAAGAGAAACCTGTTCTCATACAACTGGTCTTCATGCTTTCAAGTGGCCCTAATATACCTCTGATGCTAAGCCAAGCCATGCAAAAGCAAAGAGTACACACGTATCTCATTTCTAAACTCCACTGACCTTGGAGTTGCCATAGAAACATATGAGTACTGAAAGCATACAAATGAGGGTTCATGGATTTTAAAAAATGCATTTCCCTTGTCTATGTTCTCTAGACTTAAATACCTTAGGGCTAGGATTACAAGGCATATCAGAGAAAGGTTAAGTGGGGATAATGACAAAGGAACAAATGTAATTCTGGAAAGAGGAAAAATGCTCCAGCAATGGGATCAATGTGCCAGCAATAAGAATAGTTCATTTCATTTGAAAATTCAGCTAAAGAGCCCAATAAACAGTTCCAAGCCATAATGTTACCTGCATAATTTACAAAAACATTAAAACTCTTCACTTTATAGACAAATACACACTTCTGTAAACATGGCCACTGGGGGAGGGAGGCTCCCTACCTCATTCATGATTGAGGACATGTAATCATTATATTAAATAAAATGACTTCACTTCAAAAGATTTTAAACCTGACCAATGATTAAGCTTCATTTCCCCCTGTTTAACAACATTTAAGCATTAATTCTAAAAATGCCACCTAGGATGGTTTCAGGGTTAGATGCTAGGACCACAATCGGCAATCACAGCAACTTCTCTCTAGCTGGCACAGACTTATAAACTTTAGTACAAAAACAAAAAAATACAGAAACTAGGTCAATTTGTTAGCTACATATTTACAGATAATTACATGATTTTTTACTCACAATTACTACAAACTATGAGTGAAAAGGAAACTGTGCAGGTTGAATTACCCGTACTTTGGGGGGAATTCTTGGGCATCAAAATACCCTTTTCATTCATTCAGAAGTCTCGTCTTCTCTCCACTTTTTCATGGCAAACTACCTACAGATGTTCAGATTAGTATATCCAATGGGTATCTGGTTTCAGAGAGTATTAACCTTTTTCTCTACTTAAAGGAGAATCTCTTGATATTTATAAACAAAACAAACCCAACACAGATGCATTCACACACACACAAAATCTCTGAAACTTCAGTTAGGATTGCTGGGAAACAGTTAACAGTGATGGTGACATAGTAAATGGCTCCCCAGATGTAATCTCTTCATTTATTTTCTTTAAAGAACATCTATTTTTTGGGGTAGGTGGGAAGTGCAAGTTTAAAAAACCCACAACAGGCAGATAAGGTGCATACTAATTTATGTATTTCTTATGCTCTGAAGGCTACCATTAGGCCAAGTGGGTTCTTTCTCTCTTCCCTTGTTTTAGTGAAATTTTGGAAGTCTGAATATAAACGAGGGAAAAATTAGTCAATGTGACTTTCAAGAGGGCTCCCAGAGTTCAGTAGAAAATATAAATATACAATAAAGGAAGAGTTCTCAGCTTCACTTTCTTTTTCTAGACAGTTATTAATAAAACTTACTTCTTTACAAATTAATAGTCATTTCCAATGTAGTCTACTGTAGTGATTTCATAAAAGTGCAGACAACATAACCAGACACACAGCAAAATAGACTTCAATCAGTAGTCCTTGCATACAAGAGGCAAGTCTGCTAAGTGTACAGCACACTCTCCATTCTTTTAGGAATCTGAGGATGGGAATTTTCCAGTTTTAACAACTGAGTGAGTGCCTTTTCAAAGGCAATGCTAGAACCTGCTTGGGGCACTATCTATCATGTTAGATGAGGGAAAACAAAATAGAGAAATTGTTTGTCTTTAATAATAGTCTGTATTTTGATAAGCAGCTCAAAGATGACAGCCCAAGTTTTGGCTTTGTTCCTTAGAGAAGGCAGTTTTCTATCTAAGAAACAAAAACCTCTTCTTCCATCATTATAGAAGACTCATACTTATATACCTTAAATGTATTATTTTCTGACTTGAATACATACTAGACACTTCACATTGTGAGCATGGGACAAAATAAGAGACCATAAACCTCCTAGGAAAGGGTTGCTATGTTGAGCCAAATCTCTGCTTGAACAGTGGCTCAGAAGGGGTGGGAGGTACACAAAGAACTTACTATTAGCAAGTAAGAAGAGGCAGCTAAAGGGAGAAAGTCCCATGCCAATGTCATATCCTTCTCTCCCAGTGGCCATTTCCTGTTGATTTTATAGTTTAGGAGAACCTTAGATGCTTCAGCAGTAATTCTTTTCTTGGCTGTTTTGGTCCTTAGCAAAATTTCTAATTATTGGTATTAATGGAGTAAAAAGAGTAAGAGAATCAATGACATCACTACTTAGAAATACAAAGACTGCACATGAAGATTGTGTGATTTATTGGTTCTTCTATCATCTTTGCAGAGGAATCACCAACAGTGTTTTTAATTTCCATGGTTCACTTCTCTCTGCATCACTTATCTTTACTACCTCGAGACACAAACTCATAGAAACACTAAATGGCTCCTTCCCAGCACTATTTTACTGTCTTTGCAACATATGGTTCCACATTTTACTTAACTTTCTTTCCACTCACACAAATGTTAAGAGGGGATTAAAAGAGAAAAGACTGCAGCTAATGACCACCTTCTCATAAATATCACCCCAGATTACTCATTCTTAAACACATGCATTCTTGCCTTAACTGAGGATTTGAAATAACAAAACAAAATAACAGAACCTTAAGTGCCCTGATGGAAATGTACAGTATGAGTTATATCCATCTACCTACACACACACATAGACACTCATATGTATATACAATATATACATACAAATGATAATAGCTATACCAAAAATGTGCATATTTAACACAGTTTTAAAAAGCCAGTAGATCATGGTATAATACAATTTATTTCCACTAGTGAATGGCACAAATGGAGAAATGCAAAGGAGGTGTTTCAAGTACAATAAAGTCATTTTTCACAGGTGAAAATAAACAGTATTATTCCAGTGTCCAACACAATGTATTTTATAAAAGTTTAAAATGCCAGACATTTAGCACTTAAAGAAGTAGAAAGTTACTAAAGTCTGTCTTATGGTCTGAAAAAGACACTCATAGAGTTTTTTATTTTTGAAAAGGGGATGAGGAAAATTAGGTGGGAGTGGGAGGGAGGATCAAGGACAATTTCTTTAGTGTACTAAATAGTGTTTACCTGATGTCTGGGCAGTTGAAAATCATGACTATACTAAATAGTTTAATTTCCCTATAAATCCTTGGCCTCTAGTACCAAGCATATTATACCTAAGGCATGGCATCAAATGTAGAACTATTCATCCCTAGGGACAGAACTGACTACAAAAAAGGGTAGCTCTGAATAAAAATAATATAAACATTTTCCAGCTAACATTACTATATAATGAAGAAACTATAATTTGGGGTTAGATCTGACTTTAATAAGAGGAGAAAAATATGTGCAAAAGGAAGGGAATCCAATTAGAAATAATATTTATCAAGATACGAGGTTTTGCTTTTGAAAACGCTAACTAAAGAAAGGGAGATACAGTGAACATAAGAAAATTTTTACTGCCAAGTTCTGGATACCAGATATAGCATTAATAACTTTCTAATATGCCGGACAAATTTCTCATACTTTTTATTTTCTTAAACACATATGTACTGAGTGAACACCAACTCTTGGAGGAGGTAGTAATTTGATCAAATATTGACATTTGCACACTGATTTAGAAAGTGCCTGCTTCTTTCTTTAGAATCTCTAAACTTTTCAAAGTTTCCTGCTACAAGCTTTATTCTTTACTGATTCCTACCATGTATGAGATTCCTCAGAAGTTAGTTCTTATAAACACACACCAATTAATTAATCATTTTTGCAAACTGTATATTTTTAAAATAGAATTAATTTAATGGAATAATCCAGGTATACTCATGACCTACATGTTAAAACTGGTTGCTCCACAGATAAATCAGATACAAAGCCCAACTGGGTAGACCTTTGGAGTCAGCATTCAATCACAATTTTACAAGTACATATGCTCTGCACAAACTCAGTAATTCAATTTGACTAACTCTAAGTCACTGGAAGTAGTTTGGATTTTAAAGAGTTTTGTGTGCAGAATGGATCTGCTTTTCTATTCTATCCCTCTAGTAGTACTGAGGGGTTAATAAGAATTTTTTTGTAAGTGTCAAATTTCATTATATTTTTTGGGCATTTTATTAATTCCAAAGCTCTCTTCTATAATTTTCTTCCAAATAAGTAGATATTTCAATTTGTTTGAAATATTATATAATATTTGAATGCAAAAAATATATGGAGAAAATTAAAAGCCCCTTTCACTAGATATGACAAGTACATGTCCTGTTCATCTAAAAGTTGGTGATCTCGAGCATGGCCAAGAGGATAATGTATCAGAGTGCTACCTGAAACACTGCCTAAAATTGTGTGAATTCTATTGTGATACTGGCTTTTAAAATATTTACATTAAAATATTAATTTTTCTTCCAGTTACCTTTAAATGAATCCCAGAAACTCCTAAAGGGGATGATCCATGGAGATTGGACTGACATACCTGGGGAAGACTTAAATTTAATTGAGAAAACCAAGATTTCAAAAGTGATAAGATTACATTTGGCCATCAGTCTGGCCTAGGTAAAAAGTATCATTGAGAGGGACTGGAAACTTGGACTATATGAAAAGCAGGACCCATAGTTAGCAGCAAGGGTTCTTCAAGACAACCGGGGAGGGGGCAGGACAGTAACTTGTAGAAATTCTGATATGTCACTGGAAAGAAATTTTTTTTTCTTCAAGTAATACAGCTCCCTATCCACCTTCCACTAAATTTCCACACTAGCAATGGAATACCAAGTAACATCTGACGTTCAGCACTGGGTTGATCCTTCATTGAAAAACAAAACAAAACAGAACATAACAAAACAAACAAAACATGCCCCTCTCTGGAAAAAAAGGTTAGCTTTTGTCAAGAGATTCCCTGACCACTATAACTTACTTTACTTTTTTATTCTTAATTTGCCAAACTTGTTAGTTCCTTTTCAGTAGTAATTTAGCAGACGCTAGAGACTTCAGGAAGTGGTGTTTCCTATAGTATGATGTTATTAACATGATGTCAAATGGTCACTAAGTCTCAAGGAACCAGAAGTTTGTAAAGTATTGCAGCAACAAAAACAGTAATTAAAAAAGAAAAAAAAGAGGACCTGCACATGCAGCACAATCTACAGTGGTAGTGAGGGTTAGTCAGCAGCTGGTAAAGTCATTGGCTCAGTGACTCCTGGTTCACTATGGCAACTAAACTTTAAATAATTGGCTATTCTACTTGTAAACAGGAAATCCCATAAGCCAAAAGGGGGTAGTCAAATTAATGTCTATGTAGTGTGATGAGAATTCCAAAAGGTGGCAGTTTGCAAATATGGCATTATTCAAATACCTCAGGCATTTGATGTGTATTGGCTATACGTCTTTGTTTTTGTACAAACAAAGTAAAAAGTACTGTTTAGGGTTTTGGGAGTTACAGAGCTTAGCTAGGATGAAATATCACAGTATAAGCAACAAAACATCAGGATATATAGGCTTCATCTCCTCACTCTGCTGCTGAACACACCTACCATATGAACTTTCAGGGACCTCTCTCACCCTTCTGGTCTTTCCCTTTGAAGGCTCACAGGTTTATTGGATGAAATTCCCACACAACTTGTGATCTCCTTAAGCACCTCCATCTCACCATGCCACAAAGAAGGCACAAATGAATGGGGGGGGGGGGGGGGGGGTGGTCACTGGCAAGCCTACACAGCATTAACTCAGTTGTTTTCTACTCTCTGAAAAAGTCAATGCAACCCTTCAGTGTTCATGGCTTTCCACTTTTTTACTCCAAATGAGGCTGAGAAGTCAGACCAACGTAATAAAGAAAATGTATTGATGAAGGGATACAAGTGTGTTTCTATAATAACTTGTTTTAGCATATGCTGCCTGCTGTGAGTGGTTCATAAGAATTTGGGGTATGGAGAAAGGCTTTAGATCTTTTCACAAACCTTAGGATGTAGTTGCCCAAAAGTGATGACTCAAGCCATTTTGCTGTATTATATATTTGCAGTGTTCAGAAAATACCCCCTATCTAGCCAATTTCTTTTTACCACACACATGATGTGTGTGTGTGTATGTGTGCATGCGTGCACACACACATACATATCAATTCCCCCTTTTAAATTTCTCCAAAAGTTAAAAACAAAAAACAAAACCTGGCAGCCAAATACTATGACATCCAAATTAGTAAACACAAAACAGAACGCTTTAAAAAAATGAATAAAATATACCATATGCATTCAGCTTCCACACTGTAGTACCCAAGTGAGGAGGCTGCTGTGACGATGTCTGTAGGCAGTTTCTTTTGGCAGACAGCTCCAGCAGAATTGCCACTTTCAACTATTAAGCTATGTATAAGACAGATGTGACCCATTGGAGATCTGTGAGGTGACACTCGTGCTTCTGCTCATGCCCTGCTCCGTCCGTCCCCCAGAAGCTGTTCGCCTCAGAGCCTGAGGGCTGTTGCGGACCCCCATACTGCTACCTCGGGGCACCCCTTGCATTGGCCCTGAGGGGTGACCCCATGGCTGGGGTCCACCTTGCATCGGATGGCCCCAAGCTTGTGGTGGGCCACCCATGGGATGACCCCAGTGAGGTCCTGGACCCCCAGTAGGGTTGTGAGACCAACCAGAAGCTCCTGGGTAGCTGTGGCTGAATGCCTCAGGGGAGAGATTAGAAAGGACCATGTTACTAAAACCCAGTCTCATACTTTCAGAGTCAAAAGCTTCGATTTCTCTGGCTTGACGCTCCAGCAGACTTCGTATTCGTTCTGTGCGTTCATTCTGTAAAGCCAACATCTCTTCTTCAATCTGTTAGGGGTTGGAGGAAGGAAGCAAAAAGAAAGTTGATTTAAAAATTTAAAAACTAAGGAAGCAATAATTATTCAGTTTTGAAGTGAATCATAAAGAAATTCATTCTTGCTATTTTATGGATGTACATTTAAAAATCAGCCTAGCCGGTGTGGCTCAGAGGTTGAGTGTCGACCTTTGAACAAGGAGATCACAGTTTGATTCCCGGTCAGGGCACATGCCCTGGTTGCGAGCTCGATCCCTAGTAGGGGGCGTACAGGAGACAGCCGATCAATGATCCTCTTTTATCACTGATGTTTCTATCTCTCCCTCTCCCTTCTTCTCTCTGGAATTAATAAAATAATAGAAAAATATTTTTAAAAGGAAAACAAAAAAAGCAGCTGTGGCCCATTTACACAATGGAATGCTACTCAGTTATAAAATAAAGAGAAATCTTTAAAAAATATTAAAAAAACAAGAGGTGTACTGCAGCAATCATACATAATTTATATTTCTAAAATATGTAAAATCAAGCTCTGGCTGATTTTGCTCAGTGGTTAGAGTGTTAGCCCGCAGACCAAAAGGTCTCAGGTTTGATTCCTGGTCAAGGGCATATAACTCGGTTGCAGGTTCCCCAGCCTGGGTAGGGGTGCATGTGGAAGCAGCCAATTGATGTGTCTCTCTCATGTCAATGTTTCTCTTCCTCTCTCTCTCTCTCCCCTTCTCCCTCCCTTCCACTCTCTCTGGAAATCAATAGAAAAAATATCCTCAGGTGAGGATTAAAAATAAATAAATAATTTAAAAATAAAATGTGTAAAATCAAGTTCTTAAAAGCAAAGGCAATAACCTCTATTAAAATAATAAATCAAGGCAATTATCATCAATGGCTATTAAACCCATTAGGTAAAACGTTAAATGAGCCTGGTCAGCGTGGCTCAGGGGTTGAGCATCGACCTATGAACCGGGAGGGCAGGGTTTGATTCCTGGTCAGGATATATGCCTGGGTAGCGAGCTCAATCCCCAATGTGAGCGTGCAGAAGGCAGCAGAACAATGATTCTCTCTCATCATTGATGTTTCTATCTCTCTCTCCTTCTCCTTCCTCTCTGAAGTAAAAAAATATATATTTTAAAAAAAGTTGAATGAAAAAGAAAATGGGTGAGGAAAAACCAATCTTATCAGACATAACATATGTCATTTAATAAGAGAAACATGATACTGCTATTGAAATTGAAAATTAGTGAAATAGAATGCAGATCTCAGTAGATTTTTAAATAAATAATACAGGCACAATTGGCCAGCCATCTGGAAGGAAATAAAAGTGGAACCCCATTGTTTACCATGTTCCAAATGGACCAAAGTAAAAAACAAAAACTATAAAGTTTTCATTAAAAAGTTAGAAGATTCTATGTAACTAGAGTGGTTGGGTAGTCATCATAATCAGTTCCAGAAAATTGGGAGGTATTCCAAATAAAAATACTTGACTGCATATAATTTTTTTTAAATGTAAAAAACCATAATAAAGTCAATAGACAATGAAAAAAATGTTGAACCATTTAATGAATGATCAGATTGATAATACCTGGAATACACTAATCAATATAATATAACTTAAAAAGTGGAACTAGACATATTTCTTGATATGATGCAAAAGGAAGTACATATTTCTTGATATGATGCAAAAGGAAGTACCCTTACAAAAATCCCTTGCAAAATTTTTTTAAAGAAAAATATTGAATCTAAATTTAATCATGCCTTTAAATCTAATTATCAGTTTACAAGAAATATGAAGTAGAGAGGAATACATTAAATGACAACATGAGGATGCAATCAGCCAAATCCAGAATGTGAGAATTCCCACTGAGTAAAGAGTCCAATCCACAGTTTAAAAAAGGGGGTGGAGTGGGGCCTGTTATAGGCAAGACAATTAACTAAATGCAATATCTAGACCTTGTGTGGGCCCCAATCCAAATGAACCAACTTAAAAATTAATTGAGATAAAAGGGGAAATTTAGACATGGACTGAGTAGTTGATATTATTAAACATTTATTTCTGTTAGCTATCACGATGGAATTATTGTGAAAAAGTCCTTACCTAGTTTTTTTTTTTTTAAACTACATCTTTTTTAAAATATATTTTTATTGATTTCAGAGAGGAAGTGAGAGGGAGAGAGAGATAGGAACATCAATGATGAGACAGAATCATTGATCAGCTGCCTCCTGCACACCCCACACTGGGGATCGAGCCTGCAACCTGGGCATGTGCCCTTGACTGGAATTGAACCTGGGACCCTTCAGTCCGCAGGCCAACGCTGTATGCACTGAGCCAAACCAGCTAGGGCCTTACCTATTTTTAAGAGTGAAATAATACCATGTTGGGATTTCCTTTTTAAAAAAAATATGTTTTTATTGATTTTAGAGAGAAAGGGGAAAGGGATAGAGAGATAAAAACATTGGTGAGAGAGAAACATCATCAATTGCCTGCCTTCTGCACACCTCCCACTGCGGATTGAGCCCACAACCCGGGCATGTGCCCTGATCAGGAATTGAACCAGTGACCTCTTGGTTCATGGGTCAATGCTCAACCACCAAGCCACACTGGCCGGGTGTGATTTGCTCTTAAATACTCCAGACACTATTCCCTAACTCCTGATCTCCCCCGACCCTCGAAAAAAAAAGTTGTGTGTGTAGAACAAGGGAATAGATAAGAAAAAATTAGGAGAAGAAAATGGCAGCCAACTAGGAAGACATGTAGTGCACCTCATCCCAAGGCCAGACTGGAAAAGCAACTAAATTGAAAAACATTTACCTGGAATTAAAAAATTAGACACAGCTGAGGAGACAATTTACAAAAAAAGGAAGGGCAGAGGATGCATAGAGAATGGTAGGAATGCGGACCAGGGCTGGATAGGGATACCCGGTCACCAGGCCAAGAGGGTGAGGTGGAAGCTGCATCGCACCAAAGCCACGACCCTTGGCGACAGGCATAAAACCCAACTGTGAAAAGGAAAAAATTAGCACTGATAACTCCTAAAGCTGGGTGATAAGTACTTGGGAATTTCATTGTACTAATTCTTTCTACTTTTGTGTACGTTTAAAATGTTCCATGATAGCCCTGACCGGTTTGGCTCAGTGGATAGAGCGTCGGCCTGCGGACTGAAGAGTCCCAGGTTCGATTCCGGTCAAGGGCATGTGCCTCGGTTGCGGTCACATCCCCAGTGGGGGATGTGCAGGAGGCAGCTGATCGATGTTTCTCTCTCATCGATGTTTCTGACTCTCTATCCCTATCCCTTCCTCTCTGTAAAAAATGAATAAAATATATTAAAAAAAAAAAAAAATGTTCCATGATAAAAAGTTAAAAAAAAAATAAAGAGAATTTGTAAAGGAGCATTAAATAATCCGGTTTCAAGATATTTGAGAACTTAAGCCAATAGTCATTGCTCTCTACAGAAATCTAGCTTGACAAATGTGCTAGTTTTTATGCACTAAGTTTTTAAAAGTGCCCTAAAAGAACCCCCAAAAAGACAGTTTAGCATGGGCAATACATGCAAATTAAAAAACGTAGACCAGCCAGTGTGGTTTAGTTGGTTGAGCATCCTCCCATGAACCAGGTCACAGTTTGATTCCCAGTCAGGGCACATACTTAACACTTGGGTTGCGGGAAACGAGTTAAGTCGGCTCGCGTGAATTGTGCGTACTCCGCGGGAGCCGTCTTAAACTCGGTTCATATAGATTTGCGGTGGAGTGCGGGAAACGTGTAAACTCGGGCCGATTGTAACTGCGTATTACCAAATATTTCATTTCAATCGAACCCATACTTCAAAAGATATAGGCATTTTAACGCGCCATCTTATATTTTGGCGGGAAATTCACCCGACACCGTAGTGCTAGGTTGTGGGTTCAATCCCCAGTGGGGACCATGTACAGGAAGCAACTGATTGATGTTTCTCGCTCACATCAATGTCTGTCTCTGTCTCTCTCTCCCTTCCTCTCTCTAAAAATCACTAAGCCCTGGCTGGTGTGTTTAGTTGGTAGAGCACTGGTCCGTGCACTGAAGGGTCGAAAGTTTGATTCCTGGTCAAGGGCATATGCCTGGATTGCAGGTTTGATCCCCAGCACATATCAGAGGCAACCAATTAATGTGTCTCTCTCATATCAATGCTTCTCTTTCCTTCTCTCTTCACCCTCCCTCTCTTCCTTCTACTCTCTCTAAAAATCAATGGAAAAAATATCCTTGGGTGAGGATTTTAAAAAGTTTTTTAAAATTCACATGGAATTTAATATTTATAATCATGCTGTTATCTTGCTGAAATTTTAATGTAAATCTCACATAATAAAAGCTTAATATACTAAGTGTCTGGTTGTCCGGTCAGCCTTTCAACCAATCAAAGCATAATATGCTAATGATATGCTAAGGCTGCTCAACCAGACAGTTGACTGGTCAAATGACGTGCATGACCACCAGGGGGCAGATGCTCCGACCAGTAGGTTAGCTTGCTGCTGGGGTCCGGCTGATCGGGACTGAGCGAGACAGGCCGGACACGTCCTAGAGCCCTCCCGTGGTCCCTCCCTGGCCCCGATAGTGCACTGGCGGGGTCCCTCGCCCTCTCGCAATCTGGGCTAAGCCCCCCCACCCCTCCGCCCGAGTGCACGAATTTTGTGCACTGGGCCTCTAGTCAAGTATAAGAAGAGTCAACTGAGGCTTAGTTTGTTGGTGTTTTAACCTAAAGAAACAATTCTTGGTTCATTTGGAGATTTCCAGCAATCTTTAAATAGAATTATTTTTCATTTAGAAACAATTAGCATTCACTCTAGTTCCACCTTTATTTCAAATAATGGTTTATCATATGTGATTTACATTAAAATTTCAGCAAGATAACAGCATAATTATAAGTATTAAATTCCATGTGAACTTAAAAAAAACTTTCTTAAATCCTCACCCAAGGATGTGTTTTTAGTGATTTTTATTTATTTAATTTTGTGCAACCAGTAAGCACAAAGTACAGAAAATATATAGCTGTTATGATTTTTCAAAGTTTTTGTAGTTGGAAGGAGTGTTGTCCCTGTGCACCAAAAGGTAACAGGTTCAATTTCCAGTCAAGGCACATACCTAGATTGGCTTTAGTAGTTGCCAACTGACCTCAAAGTGATTCATAGTCATACATTCCACGTGAAATGTAAACATCAGCTCTAAAAATGAAGTAGCAACTCAAAGCACTATAGATTTATCCTCCTATTGTTCTATTATTTTTAATACTAATCTTTTGCATTTTCCATTATTAAAGTAATACTAACCACCACATAAAATATAGTAAAATAAAAAAATAAACCAACCTACCATATTAATATCACCACTACTAGCATTTCTTCAATTCACTTTAAGTGTTATTTGTCTTTTTTGTTTTATTCAATACATCATACTATGTTTATTATATTAAACACATTCATATTAATACTATGTTTGTAGCCATCATTGAAAAGGCTGACTAAAATTTTATCAAGTAGCCCTCGCCAGTTTGGCTCAGTAGATAGAGCATCAATCTGTGGACTAAAGGGTCCCAAATTCGATTCCAGTCAAGGGCACATCCCTCGATGGTGGGCTCCATCCCCAACCCTGGTTGGTGTGCATGCGGGAGGTAACCAATCGATGTGTCTCTCACATCAATGTTCCTCTTTCTCTGTCTCTCCCCCTTCCTTCCATTCTCTCTAAAAATCAATGGAAAAATATCCTTGGGTGAGGATTAACAACAACAAAAAATTTTTATTAAGCAGATTGGCCATAATCACTTAATTATATCTCTTATTTATTCATTTAGAGAATTTTTATAAGCAATTAAGAGTCTGAGCCAAAACTGACAACATATGCCAGGGAGCAAGATCTCAAATACTCCTTATTCTCTATTTTAGATGGTTAGGTGTTTGAAACCATTATAAAATATGCTATAATCACCATATTTATGCATTACTTTCCCCCTATATTTTGGATTTCTTTTCTTTGGAATTCTCAGTCTTACGTACTTAACAGTTCCAAAGCTCAATATGTACTTCCAAATTGCTTTCCAAAATGCATTAGTGATGCATGAGAATGCCACATCAATAGGTATCAGTTTTATGCTCACATTTTACTAGGAACATGTAGTCTTTGGTTCACATATTGAAATGATTAATAGCACTGTTTAACTCTTAACCACTAGGTAAATATGTATACTTTAATAGTACCAACATTTCTTACATCACTATTTTTGAACACCTTAAGGAATTTCTCTCTCAGCGATAATTTTGAAGCATAAGAGATAGAATTTTGGATTGAATTTTAAATGTGAAAGTTGGAATTACATTTATGAAATATGTACATGAGACAAATTAGATTTTTCTCAAAATGTATATGTTTCTATCTTTCCATCTTGAATGAGAAACATAATTGAGAAAATTTTTAGAGGCAAGTACCTCTCAAGAAGCCAGTAAAGACAGCTATGCCATCTTATTTAGGTGGTTTTCTTAAGGCGTTCTATTTTTATCACAAGAACTGCAGAAAACAGAGGAAAATCTATGAGCCAATGGTCCAGAAATAATGACAACTTTTAATAGGCAAGACCATTAGGCAAGTATTAATTTAATGGACCTAAGACTATATCAGCTATTGGGATTATGGCTCAGGAATTCTGGAACATAGTTCTGAATCATGGATACAACTGATATTCTACTACTTCTCACAACAAATATCTCTCCTCTCTTTATCACTCAAAATCACCCTTTTCCCCAAAACACATACACCCTCAGCTTACATACCTTAGTGTGATTCTACTTTTATTCTCTAATATATCTGACAAAAAATAAGTACAAAATAAATAAATAAAGGTACATCTGGAAGTAACATTTTCAGTCTGACTTTTCACCTGTGTGGAACTGCTTTTACTTTCTGTCTGTATCCAGGCCCAGGATGTATGAGTAAAGCATATATTCCTGTACCTTTGTCCCTGCCTTTCCCAGGCAATTGTTAGTTCTTTTTCTTCACTATCCAAGTTTTTCTCCAACCTTCTTAGGTACAAAAAAGAAATGAGGGCTCTAGCTGGTTTAGCTCAGTGGATGGAGCGTTGGCCTATGGACTGAAGGGTCCTGGGTTTGATTCCGGTCAAGGGCATGTACCTCGGTTGCAGGCTTGATCCCTGGCACTGGTCGGGGTGTGTGCAGTAGGCAACCAATTGATGTGTGTCTCTCATATCAATATTCTCTCTCTCTGATTCCCCCTCCTTTCCACTCTCTCTAAAAAAATCAATGGTAAAATATCCTCAGGTGAGGAGTAACAAAAATAAATGTTAAAATAAAAAAATAAAAAGTGATGAACACAGAACCAGAGCTCTCTCAAAATTTAACTTGTCTTCACATAACCCATATCTTTCTTCTAGCAATTACTACTTAATTATAGGTTCCTTGATGTTTAGTACCTCCAAATTACTTATTTTTCTTTAAATATGTTTTTATTGATTTCAGAGAGGAAGGGAGAGGGAGAGGGAGATAGAAACATCAATGATAAGAGAGAATCAGTGATCGGCTGCCTCCTGCATGCTCCCTACCAGGCATGTGCCCTTGACTGGAATTGAACCTGCGACCCTTCAGTCCATACAGTGTCAGAATTTCTTCTCAAGTTCTTCCACTGAGCCAAACCAATTAGGGTGTCCCTTAATGTTTAGAACTCATCCTATCTAATAAAAGAGAAACATGGTAATTAGCGTACGACCGCTACCCTTCCCATTGGCTAATCAGGGCGATATGCAAATTAACTGCCAGCCAAGATGGCGGCCGACAGCCAGGGAGCTGGAAGCGAACATGAGGCTTGCTTGCTTCAGTGAAGGAGGACTCCAACGTTCCCCACCTGCCTTGCCAGCCTCTGAGCTGGCAGTTTGAAACATTGTAACAAATACAGAAGCTAAATAAAACCCCAGAAACCAGCTTTCAGCCGGCCGGGATCTCAGAGCTGGAGATGATACAGTGTTTCGATTATAGAACCGAAACAAACCAGATACCTGCTTTCAGCAGCAGAGGCCTTGACCAAGAATAAAAAAAAAAGAAAAAAAGGAGCGGTTGGGAGCTTCAGTCACCCACCAGCCTGTAAACAGCCCTCAGCCCCTCACCTAGACTGGCCAGGCACCCCAGTGGGGACCCCCACCCTGAAGGGTGTGTGACCAGCTGCAAACAGCCATCATCCCCTCAGCCAGGCTGGCCAGGCACCCCAGTGGGGACCCCCACCCTGATCCAGGACACCCTTCAGGGCAAACCAGGCAGGCCCTTACCTGTGCACAGGCCTCCTATTTATATAGTAAAGGGTATATGCTCCTCCCAACCCCGGGGTTCCGGGGGAACCCCCCGAGCCCCCCCGGCCCCCGGGATAAGGGGGAAAGGGGGGCAGGGCCCAAACCCCCTTATCCCCCCCCCGGTTTTTTTTGTGACCAGGGGGCGGCCCCCCCCCCCCCCCATGGGGCCCTGCTCTGTGTGTGACGGGGTAGAGCCATAACCGCCCCCATCGGCCCTGCCCTGAATGTGAAGAGTGGGCGGTGCCCCAACCCCCTGATCGGCCCTGCTCTGTGGGTGACAGAGGGTGGCGCCCCAACCCCCTGATCCGCCCTGCTCTGTGTGTGACAGGGGGCGGTGCCCCAACTCCCCTATCGGCCCTGCTCTGTGTGTGACAGGGGGCGGTGCCCCAACTCCCCTATCGGCCCTACTCTGTGCGTGACAGGGGGGAGCTTCCCAACCCCCTGAAGGGCCCTGCTCTGTGCATGACAGGGGGGAGCTCCCCAACCTCCCTGATGGGCCCTGCTCTGTGCGTGACAGGGGGGAGCTCCCCAACCCCCCTGATGGGCCCTGCTCTGTGCGTGACAGGGGGTGGCGCTGCAACCTCCCCATCGACCCTGCCTTGAGTGTGACAGGGGGCAGTGCCCCAACCCCCCAATCGGCCCTACCCTGAGCGTGACTGAGGGTGGCATCGCAACCTCCCAATCCGCCCTGCTCTGTGCATGACAGGGGGCAGCGCCCCAACTCCCCAATCGGCCCTGCTCTGAGCCCGACCAGGGGCTGCACCTAGGGATTGGGCCTGCCCTCTGCCACCCGGGAGCAGGCCTAAGCCAGCAGGTCGTTATCTCCCGAGGGGTCCCAGACTGCGAGAGGGCACAGGCCGGGCTGAGGGACGCCCCCCTCCCTCCCCCCCCCCCACCCAATGCACAAATTTTTGTGCACCGGACCTCTAGTTAATTATAAGGTTTATTATTGAGTCAAATATTTTAAATAAAAAGAAAAACCCTACCAAAACTAGAATTAAGAAAATATGGTATTGTGAAAATAGTCTAATGTTACCTCTGTTGATATGAAAATCTATTTATAAAATGTTTCTGAGGAAAGCAAATACTAGCACAATCACCTTCCTTCTACTACTTATACCTTTTGTTCTAAGAGTGCCCTTCGTAGGGAGACCCTTTGTTCAAGCTCCCGAAGCTCTCGATCATGTTGTGCCTCAGCTTGCATCTTGATTTTGCTCTGATATGCATTCAACAGTTCCAGTTCCTGCTGCAGCTGCATCTTCAAAACCTGGCACTCTGCTTCCTGTGCTTCATCCAAACGCAGCTGAAAGAGAGAGAAAGAAAACATATATCTTACTGTGAGCCATCTATGACCTATGGGAAAGAAGGAGTCTCAGAGAAAACAGACTACTCTTTTATAGATAAATAATTGTTCTCTCTTCTATTTTAAACATCTCTGAAAAAGAAAGGTACAGTAACTAATGATGGCATTATTAAGATAAAGCTATCATAATCCATTTGGAGGAATCCTAAATAAGCATATTTTTCTTAAGAAAAATTTAGACTCTGATTAGGTGATAGAAGACTGAATGAATCTCTTCTCTCAAATGGAAATAACTACAGAACAGGGACCAGCCAACTATAGCCTATGGGCCAAACTGCGTGTGTGTTTAAATAAACCACAAATTAAGAATGGTCTTTACATTTGGAAATGGTTACATTTTTTTCTTTCTTTTTTAAAATAAATTTTTATTGATTTCAGAGAGGAAGGGAGAGGGAGAATGAGAGAGAAACATCAATGATGAGAGAGAATCATTGATCAGCTGCCTCCTGCACGCCCCTTACTGGAGATCAAGCCCACAACCCAGGCATATGCCCTAAATGCGAATTGAACTGAAACCTCCTGGTTCATGGGTTAACACTCAACCACTGAGCCATACTAGCCTGGCTGAAATGGTTACATTTTAAATGGCTATTTAAGTATCCATACAATATCCTCAATTTTGCCTTCAGCCTCCCAAAGCCTAAAATATCTACTATCTGGCCCTTTAAGAAAAGTTTACAAAACTTATATAGAAAATATTTTATACTAGAGGCCCGGTGCACGAAACTCATGCACAGGGTTGGGGGAGGTCCCTCAGCCCAGCCTGCACCCTATCACAATCCGTGAACCCTCAGGGGATGTCCAACTGCTGGTTTAGGCTGATCCCACAAGGATCTCTGCGGGATCGGGCCTAAACCGGCAGTCGCACATCCCTCTTGCAATCTGGGACCACTGGCTCTTAACCACTCGCCTGCCTGATTGTCCCTAACTACTCTGCCTGCCTGCCTGATTGCCCCTAATCGCCTCTGCCTTGGCCCCCGCCACCACGGCTTTGTCCGGAATGATGTCCGGAAGGTCATTCGGCTGTCCGGTCTAATTAGCATATTACGCTTTTATTATTATAGATGCACTCAAATGTGACCATTTGGATTCCAATATGGACATGTGCCTTGACCAGGAATTGGACCAGTGACCTCCTGGTGCATGGGTTGATGCTCAACCAATGAGCCACACTGGCTGGGCACTATAGTACTACTTCTTGCCCACTGCTTAGCAAAGTTGCTGCTCTAATCTTTTTTAGTTTTTTAATTTTATTGATTTTTTTATAGAGAGGAAGAGAAGAGAGAGAGAGAGAGAGAGAAAGAAAGAAAGAAACAAACAAACAAACATCAGTGTGAAAGAAAAACACAGATCAGTTGCCTCCTATATGCACTCCAACTGGGGATCAAACCTGCAACCTGGATATGTTACCTGACCAAGAATCGAGCCCGCCACCTTTTGGTGTATGGACGATGCTCCAAACGAGGCACACCGGCCAGGGGACTGCTGCTCTAATATTGATAAGCTTTTGGAATATGTACTAAAGACCTGAGAGGTACTGGCAAAAAGCCTCTTTAGAACTTTTTGTCTAAATAGACCAATGAAAATTCTATATACATCATACCTGCTTCCACGCAATGCTGAGAGCCCAAGCTGCAGGAGAGCTATCACTTCCAACTAGTATTTTAATCAGGTGTAGAAGGATGGGGGCACTAAATTGTTTTGCCTCAATAAAACAAACTCACGGCTTGTGTGGATAGCATTTCATTAATGCTGTGGTCATACTGCTCAGCCAAGATGGCTAACTTCCGGGTCTGCTCCTCCTTGAGCCGTTTCAGAACAGCTTTGTGCTCACTCTTTGGTGTAGTCTCCAGTAGGTGATTTCTTAATGCTTTGTACTGTCTGGTTTGGATTTTGCAGGTGTCCTGAAACTGCTTTTTTATTTGGAGTTCTTTAGACTGGGAAGAAAAAAATAGATGTATATAATTTTTAACATATGGCATTTGGCATACCTTATGCTTACATAAAAACAAAAAAGGCTACTAGGAAAAAGGGAAAGGAAACATAAAAGATGAAATCATAGGTTACAGGTACTTTTGCACTTGGCTATTGGGCCAGATCACTAAATTCTATACATTTTAATAACAAAATTCTAATTTAAATCATTAGAATACCAACAACTTCATTTATCACAGTATTTCAAGCAATACTCAATACTCTGCTAGTTAAGTTTAGCTAATGAATAAATATTAAAATTAGTTTTGATTACTGTGTATATTGATGACAGAAAGTTAAATTTCTTCTCAAGCAATAAGTGTAGTAAATATTAAAGCACAGACAATATTTTATCAGATCTCTCAGGTAGAAAATAAACATATTTACTCTGTTCCTTATTTGAGACACTTTGCTCCAATTTCTCTAATCACAATCTCAACTCCAACTACATGGTCTGGGACACACCCCATAAAAAAGGGTATTGATAATATTGTTATTACAATTGGTCTTTTCCTTCAGGGAACACACTAGGTAGAAACACACTTAAGAATAGTTTACTCTTGCCGTAACCGGTTTGGCTCAGTGGATAGAGCGCCAGCCTGTGGACTGAAGGGTCCCAGGTTCGATTCCGGTCAAGGGCATGTACCTTGGCTGCGGGCACATCCCCAGTGCGGGGTGTGCAGGAGGCAGCTGATCGATGTTTCTCGCTCATCGATGTTTCTAACTCTCTATCCCTCTCCCTTCCTCTCTGTAAAAAAATCAATAAAGTATATTTAAAAAAAAAAAGAAAAAAAAAAGAATAGTTTACTCTTTAACAACACCACAAATAAAAACTTGCAAGTCAGTTTACTTGCAAGTAGCTGAGTTTACTCATCTTTCAAAGATCAAACAAAAGTTATGGGGCAAAGGAGAGGACAACTCTTCTTAGGATGATGATAAACATGAATTACATAAACATTTATGTGATTAAATAATCCAAATTCAGAGATATAAGAGTTTTGGCTTTAGTTTTTGGTTAATCACAGGTTAGGCATTCTATGAACTCAATTTTTAACAAAATTTAGTATGATGAAATATATTTCTATAAAGTATATTGATCAAGCCTACTAGTGAGAATATATTCATTTGCTACAATAAGGCAGAACCTATAGTTGAAATTATTTTACCTTAATATAAATACTGTCAGATATTAATTGGTTGATACAGTATGCAACAAATGCATATATGACCAAAGTAATACATTTGTCAAGGAAGTAGTCCCCCCTCCCCCACTACAACATCAAATATAATCCTTCCATATTTTATACCAACTGAGACACTAGGTCATAGTCATATACCTTTATTCTGTGAAGGGGCCAAGAAATGTCTAGTTAGAGAAACACTTGGTTTAGCTATGCTTAATAGCACTGCTCTTAAATACTGTTCTTGGTTAAAAAAATTCTTCCAAGTTAGCCAGGATCGTGAAACAATGAAATTTAGACATTCCCTTCTGCCTCTGTAAAACAGCCTCCATTCTTTTAAGTTTTTATTTTTAAAATATTGTACCAAGAAAACTGTATATCACTAGCCTAATGAGAAAAAAAGAACTCCTTGAAAAGAAAACAAAACATTTTTTTCTCTACTTACTGATTTTTTCCAGTTTATCGAGAAATAACTGACATACATCACTGTACAAGTTTAAGGTACAGAGCAAGATGGTTTGATTTATATATATTGTGAAATGATTACAATAGGTTCAGCTAACATACATCTCATATAGAAAAATTTTTCATAAGAAGAGTAATATCTATACCAAGAATAAACTATATCCCTCAAGGTGTGTGATTCAGTCAAAGCAAATGACTGTTAAGTTACAGTTGTTTCTACTCATTTAACACTGAAAGAGCACCATTTGGATGGCAGCTAAAGAAACAGCAGAGTAACAACAGGTGTTTACCCAACCCATTCCATAGAAATGGTATGCCAACCCCCACAAATCCTAGTCAACTCACGTAAGTGCTCAAACTAAAGATCCCCTAGCCCTCTTTAAGGTCTTGGAGAAAGTTGGAAAGGTAACTAAACACTTAGGCAAATAAAAATGAAATAGCTTGATGTTAAAATCTAGTCTATTTTGAGCAAGTAGATAGAAATATGCAACCTAAGGAAAATGGTGATTTTTCTTTCCTACAAAAGTCATAGAATAATTTCCTTTGTGGGAATTCTTTTCTTTCTTTCTTTCTTTTTTTTTTTAAGATTTTTTATTGGTTTGTAGAGAGGAAGGGAGAGGGGAAGATAGAGAGAGAAACATCGATGTGAGATCGGAACATAGATCGGCTGCCTCCTGCATGCTCCCTCCCAGGGATAGAGCCTGCAACCCAGGCATGTGTCCTGACTGGAATCAAACCAGCAACCTTTTGGTGCATGGGATGATACCCAACCAACTGAGCCACACTGGCCATGGCCAGGCCTTTATGGGAATTCTTGAGCTCATTTGTCATCAGAAGGAGGCATTCTATTCAAAGTCTGACTGTGTTTGTAAAACATTGTTTTCTCCTCACTTTCTGTGAAAATCAGACTATTGTTTACAAGCTTTCAAACTGAAAAGGCTCCAACAACAGGAACAGGAAGGGTTGTTAAACATCAAACAACCTTAACAAAAGGAAGATAAACAACCCAATCAAAAAATGGACAATGGACCTAAATAGATACTTTTCGAAAGAGGACATAAAGAAGGCCAAGAGACATGAAAACATGCTAAGTCACTAATCATCTGAGAGATGCAAATCAAAACGACAATGAGGTACTATCTCACACCTGTCAGAATGGCTATCATCAACAAATCAACAAATGACAAGTGCTGGCGAGGATGTGGAGAAAAAGGAACCCTCGTGCACTGCTGGTGGGAATGCAGACTGGTGCAGCCACTGTGGAGAACAGTATGGAGTTTCCTCTCAAAAAACTAAAAATGAAACTCCCATTTGACCCAGTGATCCCACTTTTAGGAATATATCCCAAGAAACTAGAAACACCAATCAGAAAGGACATATGCACCCCTATGTTCATAGCAGCACAATTTACCATAGCTAAGATTTGGAAACAACCTAAGTGCCCATCAGCAGATGAATGGATTAAAAAACTGTGGTACATCTACACAATGGAATACTACGCTGCTGTAAAAAGGAACTCCTATCATTTGCAACAGCATGGATGGACCTAGAGAGCATTATGCTAAGTGAAATAAGTCAGTCAGAGGAAGATAAATATCACATGATCTCACTTATTTGTGGAATATAATGAACAACATAAACTGATGAACAAAAACAGATCCAGAGAAGCATCTATCAGACTTTCAAACCTCAGAGGGAAGGCTGGGGAGGGTGGTGGTAAGGGGGAGAGATCAACCAAAGGACCTGTATGCATGTATATAAGCATAACCAATGGAAACAGACACCAGGGGGGTGAGGGCATGAGCGGGGGTGGGGTGGGGGGGGGACAATGACACATATGTAATACTGTAATCAATAAAGGAAAAAAAAACATCAAACAACTATCCTACAGAAATGCAGTCATATCAGATTTATGGTATGACCATAAAAACTAACTAAGCTTTCAGTTTGGTTTATTTCTGGCTGCTGCTGACTTTAAACCTAATTAATTATTTCACAGACATGTTGTTTAAAAAATCTTTTGTGGGAAATTATCTATTCTGTTACCAAAAGAGTATATCTCTTTCCACTAAAAAGACAAAATAAATCTAAAAAATCATTATGAATTCCTATTTTTGTAAGCAACAACTAAAGAAGGTTATCTGGATGGACAGATTCCTTTCCTGTTTGAAAGGAATTGGGTGAGAACTGGGGATACCACTGGATGTGGTGCAGCTTTAAGATTTTAACACAGAATACTTCGGTGGATGAATTTTACTTCACTCCAGGACAGCTTTTCAGTTAAGACCAAGAACAGTTTTCTAGTTTAATTATCAAATAGTTTTAAAAAGAGGAAAGGGGTTAAAAAGAAAATACTGTGGGACCTGGGCCTTATTTGATATAAATAAAAATTTAAAGTGTGCAGACATATACAGATTAATTGAGGTACTAATATGGATGATAGCCTATATATCGTGTAGTTTTAGTTTATTACGATTCATGTGACTATACTCCTTCAAATATTTATTACAAGTTATAAAACTTGAAAATTTCTTGGAATTGTTAACTCTGGTTGACTCTGGTGAAGGGGGTTGGACCAGGTGGCTGGAGGGACAAAGGGGAGAAAGGGAAACCTTTAACTTTATAGTATACTTTGGTATCTTTCAAATTTCATATCATGTGAATGAATTCCTCTATTCAAAGCAAGTATAAAAATTAAAGTTCTGTTATGATTCCACTATTTTTCTTCAGATGTGCACAGACAATGAAGGGAGAGGAGTTAAAAAGGCATATTTTATTCACTAGCTTTTGTACTAATTAGGAACTGACTTTTTCGGATACAAATCACATTTAGAGCAAATAAGATTCCAAACTGAATTAATTGGAACAGAGAAAAAGCCAACAGGTTAGCATGTTGACATGTAATATAGCATTGAACATTTGGGTACATTTAATATAAAAATTTTGATTCTTATTGATGGCACTTCCTGCAGTTAAAAGTTTTGCTAGTTTTTGGTACTTGGTGAGAAATATATAAGCAAAAGTCTGTAGCTACAGACACTGCACATTAAAACTAACCAAACATGCTTAAAATGAAAAGAAGAAAAAAATTTATTCAATTTCTTTATGATAGACATCTATCTTAGACCTTTACTGTTTACGTGGATGCCTTTTTTCTCTTTTCCCTGTCAAGCTTAGGCTAAAGGTACCTTCAGGCTCTTAGGCTGCTGTCGAACCTCCATGACATGCTTTCGCCTTAGTTCCCGTTCTCTTCGCTTATTATATTCCAGCTGGTTAGTGAGCTCAGTTTGATGCTGTAATCTGATCAACTCACAGCGCATCTTCTGAATTGTGTTGAGGTGACGAAACTCCAGTTCTTGCATGGATTCATGTTGTCGCAGTAGCATGGCATGCTCTAAGTCCTTTTGGGTCTGCCTTTTATTTAATTCCTAATCCAAAAAACAAGAGACAAAAGGTATAATTTACTGCCGTATAATGGCAGGAAAAAATATCCTAAGAAATAGAATAACCAGAAAAGAAATGTAAAAACCAAGTTCAATAATGGCTGCATAGTAAATATTAGAATTTTATGACTTTTACTGTAGGAAATGTACAATTAGTAGCATAAATTTCCTTATCCTTGTCATTTACTATTCATTAATACTATTTTTTGAAATAAGATTAAGACAAATTTATCTGAAGAAGCTTAATGTCCTTTTCCTTTCCTTCTTTTATGTATTGCTTCTTAATTATATATCTGAAGAGGTCCCTAAGTCATCCTTTGAATTTTTTCAGAGTATACTCTTCAATTCTATTACATATAGTATACCCCGTATAGTGTAGTGGTTAAGAACATGGACTCAAGAGCTAGACTTCCTGTATTCTAAATCCTGGGTCTGCTACTTAGGAATAGTAAGTCCTTGGGTTAGTTATTTAGACTCTCAGTGCTTCAGTTTCATCACTTCTCAAAATAAGAGATAACAATCTAGCTATTTCATAGATTTAATGTGCGGATGAAATGAGTTCATAAATGGAAAGTTCTCAGAATAATACCTGGCACGATGCTCAATGAATGTTATTATTCTTGCCCTGGCTGATGTGCTCAGTGGTTAGAGCGTCAGCCTGCACACCAGAGGGTCACAGGTTTGATTCCTGGCCAATGGGAGGTACCTGGGTTGCAGGTTCCATACACGCGTGTGGGAGCAACTAATCGATGTGTCTCTCTCACATTGATGTTTCTCTCTTTCTCCTTTCCCCCTTCCTTCCACTCTCTTTAAAAATCAATGGAAAAAATACCCTTACTCCTAGGATAAGTATTTAAAAAACTGTTATTATTTTCTTCTTTAGATTAAAAAGAACAAGTGTTAAAATTAATACAACAAAGACTTGGTTCTTTGAAAAGATTAATAAAATTGACAAATCTAAATAGACTGATTAGCAGTGAGGAAGTTGAAACCACCACCAAGACCCTACCTTTTAAAAAATAGAAGTCCAGACCAGATGGCTTCACCCGTGAATTCTACCAAACATTCAAAGATTTGAAACCTATCCTTCTCAAACTCTTCCAAAAAACTGAAGAAGAGGCAATACTTCCTAACACATTTTATGAGGCCAACATAACCCTGATACCAAAACCTGACAAGAATAACACACACACAAAAACTACATACCAATATCGCTGATGAATACTGATGTAAAAATCCTAAACAAAATACTAGCAAGTAGAATACAATAATACATTAAAAAAATAATACATCATGATCAAGTGGGGTTCATTCCAGGGGCACAAGGATGATTCAACATATGCAAATCGATCAAGGTAATACATCACATTAACAAAAGAAAGGATAAAAATCATACGATCTTAACAATAGGTGCAAAAAAAGTATTTGATAAGATACAACATCCATTTTAAAAACAATAAAATAGGTATAGAAGGAAAGTATCTCAACATAATAAGGCCATATATGACAAACCCACAGCCAATATCACACTCAATGATGAAAAACTGAAGGCTTTTCCTAAAAAATCAGGAACAAGACAAGGATGCCCACTCTCACCACTCTTATTCAACATAGTTCTGGAAGTCCTAACAATCAGGCAAGAGAACGAAATAAAAGGCATCCAAATTGGGAAGGAAGAAGTAAAAGTGTCACTATTTGCAGATGACATGATTCTGTATATAGAAAATCCCCAAAACTCCACCAAAAAATTAATAGAAACAATAAAGTTGTAGGATACAAAATCAATGTACTAAAACCCACTGCTTTCTTATATACTAACAACGAAACTTCAGAAAAAGAAATGAAAAAAAATTTCCTTTTGCAGTTGCAAGCAAAAGAATAAAATACCTAGGAATAACTGTAACAAAGGATGTGAAAAACCTATATACTGAAACCTAAAAAGCATTATTAAAAGAGATTGAAAAAGACACAATGAAATGAACACAGATATTCTGTGTTCATAGACTGAAGAATCGACATAGTTAAAATGGCCATATTACCCAAAGCAATATACAAATTCAATGCTATTCCCATCAAAATCCCAGTGTTTTTTTTTAAAGAAACAGAACAAAAAAAGTCATCAAATTTGTATGGAACCACAAAAGGCCCCAAATAGCCAAAGCAATGAAAAAAAGAATGAAGCCAGAGGTATCACACTAACTGACTTCAAATTATACCACAGAGCTATGATAATCAAAACAGCATGGCATTGGCAGAAATGGAATAGAATTAAGAGCCCCAATATAAAACCACATGTATATAGGCAGAATTTTCAGCAAAGAAGCCAGAAACACACCATGGAGAAAAGAAAGCCTCTTCAATAAGTGGTTCTGGGAAACCTGGAAAGCCACATGCAGAAAAATGTAACTAGATTACAGTTTGTCCTCATGAACAAAAATTAATCAAAATGGACCAAAGACCTAAATGTAAGATCTGAACAATAAATTACACAGAAGAAAACATAGGTTTTAAAGTTGTGAACTTTGGTTGCAGAGAATATTTTATGAATTTGACCCCAAAGGCAAGAGAAGTAAAGGCTAAAATAAATGAATGAGACTATATCAAACTAAAAAGCTTCTGCAGAGCAAAAGAAACCAATAACAAAATAAAAAGGCAACTGAATGAATAGGAGGTGATATTTGCAAACAACAGTTCTGACAAAGGTTTAATATCCAAAATATATAAAGAACTTATAAAAATCAACACTAATCAAATTAAAATATGGACAGAGGACCTGAACAGACACTTCTCCCAAATGGCCAACAGTTATATGAAAAGATGTTCAACTTCACTAGCTATTAGGGAAATGCAAATTAAAACTACAATGAGATACCACCTCATACCTGTTAGAATGGCTATTATCAATAATGATAGGTAATGAAAAGTGCTGCAGAGGTGTAGAGAAAAGGAAACCCTCATTCACTGCTGCTGGGAATATAGACTGGTACAGCCACTATAAAAAACAGTGTGGCAGTTCCTCAGAAAATTAAGAATAGAGTTACCATAAGACTCAGCAATTCCTTTCCTGGGTAATCTACCTGTAAAACTCAAAAACATGTACCTGCAAAGATCTATGCACCCTATGTTCATTGCAGCACTATTCGTAGTGGCCAAGACATGGAAACAACCAAAGTGTCCTTCAATAGATGACTGGTTAAAGAAGATGTGGCACAATGAATTCTACTCAGCCATAAGAAAAGACGAAATACTGACATTTGCAACAACATGGATGGACCTTGAGAATATTATGCTAAGTGAAGTAAGTCAGTCAGAAAAAGCTAAGAACCACATGACCTCACTCATATATGGGATATAAAACTGAAACTCATGGACACAGACAACAGTGTGGTGCTTACCAGAGGGAAAGGGGTGGTGGGGTTGCGGGGGCTGGAGAGGGCTTAATACATGGTGACAGAAGATGGTTTGACTTTGGGTGATGGGCACACAGTGCAATACATGATTTCATATCACAGAAATATACACTTGAAACTATATGATCCTATTAATCAATGTTACCCCAATAAATTTAATTAAAATGTGCAAAAGTGAAAAAAAAATAAAAATCAATAATAAGAATAAGAGTACAACACACTCACACACACACAACACAAAACGTAGAAGTCAAACCAAACTTGCCCCTTTTGCCTAAACCCTTTTTCCAGAGGACAACAGTTGGTTGCAAATGTTTCTCAACCTTCCCCAGCTCATCATAACATATCTATTACAGAAAAACATACAGTTTTTAAAAAAGTGAATAATAATATACAATATAGGCATGTAATATGCTTTCTTCATCTAATAATATAATGGACATATATACAAATCAGATCAGTACATGTAGATCTTTTTTTAAAAATTTTTAAGTAAGTTCTGCTTTGCAATACCATAATCTTGCCGTTTTTTTGCTTTATAAACAAATTTTCAATAAATATCCATGTGTGATGCATCATATAATTACATTATTATTTCTTAAGGATAGATTTCTAGAAATGGATTTGATGGATAAAAGCATATGTGCATATTATATTTTACTTATTTATTTTTTGTTAATCCTAACCCAGGGATACTTTTTCCATTGTTTTTTTTGTAGAGAGTGAAAGGGAGGGTGGTAGTGGGGCGGGGACGGCGAGATCAACGTGAGAAAGACACATTGATTGGTTGCCTTCCTGCATGTGCCCCAACCAGGACAGGGGATGGAACCTGCAACCCAGGGACGTGCCCTTGACTTGGAATTGAACCCGAGACCCTTCAGTGCATGAGCCAATGCTCTAACCACTGAGAACACTGGCCAGGGGTGCACATTACATTTTAAGCGCTACTTCTGAATTATGTTCCAAAAGGGCAGTTTCAATTTATACTCTTACCAATACTACCCATTTCTCCATGCCAGACTCAATGCCTTTGAATAATTATGTTATATTTGAAGCTTATTTTAAGTCACTCTTGGAAATAAATTTATCCATGCTCACAGGTACCTCTGATAATGAGATCTACTGTTTTCACTAGTATAAGAGTTTCAGGATTTGTCTAATTATCTATAATAATATAAGCGTAGCCCTAGACGGTTTGGTTCAGTGGATAGAGCGTCAGCCTGTGGACTCAAGGGTCCCGGGTTTGATTCCAGTCCAGGGCACATGCCTGGGTTTGCGGGCTCGATCCCCAGTGGGGGGCGTGCAGGAGTCAGCCAATCAATGGTTCTCTCTGAATCATTGATGTTTCTATCTCCCCCTCTCCCTTCTTCTCTGATATCAATAAAAATATATTTAAAAAAATAAAAAATAAAAGCGTAATATACTAATTAGACTGGACAGACTTCCAGACGTCCTTCCTTCCTGCCAAAGCTGCAGCGGGTGGGGGCCGCGGTCAAGGCCCTTGCACGAATTTTGTGCATTGGGCCTCTAGTATGATTATAAATGTGTTAAATGACTTTTTGCCTCCCATGTGCTTAGAGATTGGCCATCATCATGAACAACACAATAACAATCTGGACCAGGAAGTTCATGACCAACAGACTACTTCAGTGGAAACAAATGATCACTGATGTTCTTTACACCCTGGGACAGCAACAGTACCTAAGACAGAAACTCGGGAAAAACTAGCCAAAATGTGTAAGCACACCAGATGTCATCTTTGTGTATAGATTCAGAATCCATTTTGGTGGTGGCAAGACAATTGGCTTTGGCGTGATTTAGGATTCCTTGGATTACACAAAGAAAAGTGAATCCAAACATAGATGCTTACAAGACATGGCCTGCATGAGAAAAAGAAGACCTCAAGAAAACAGAAAAAGGAATGTAAGAATAGAATGAAGAAAGTCAGGGGAACTGCAAAGGCCAATGTTGGTGCTAGCAAAAAATGAGCTGGAGATTGGACAACAGGACTAAAGATTATTTAGTGACTTTATCTGTGGTTATTGTGCAGTTTTTTCATGAGAGGATTAATAAACTAAGAACTTTTATGTGAAAATAAATGTGTCAAATGGTAACATACACTTCATGGCATCCATTGCAGATCAAAGGCATAATAAATTATCCAATTAATTTTTTCATATTTAAAAGCTAATACTTCTTTTATTCATGGATTTAGTATTTATTAAATATAATGTTTATTGAATGCCTACTATGAGTCAGATACTAAGCATATAAAGACCCAAATAGAATCCATGACTTCATATAACTCCTTTTAAAAAAAACGTATTTAATTTATTGATTTTAGAGAGAAAGGAAAGGGGACAGAGGGAGAGAGGGAGAAAGAGAGAGAGAGAGAGAGAGAGAGAGAGAGAGAGAGAGAGAGAGAGAAAGAGAGATTGATTTGTTATTCCACTTATTTATACATTCATTGGTTGATGCTTGTATGTGCCTTGACCAGGGATCGAACCTGCAATCTTGGCATATCGGGATGACACTCTAACCAACTGACCTACCCAGCCAGGGCCTGTGACTTCATGTAATTTCCATTCTAGTGGGGAAGTGAGACTTCCTCCAAAAAAGTGCATGTATGTGTGAGAGAGAGAATACAAAGAAAAACATTTAAAGAAGGGAGAAGGATTTTGCAATCAAGGAAGGAATTTCTGAGGAGGAGACATGTGAAGAGAGGTATGAAGGAAGGGAGAAAGCAAGTCACATGGATATCAGGGGAAGAAGGACTTAGGCAGAGGGAAGTTTAAGTGCAAAGGCCTTGAGGCTGGGATGTGAGTGACACATATGGTGTCCCAAAAAATGTATACATACTTTACAGCTGATGGCTCAATTAATGTTTTTTTCTTTTTAGATTCAACTCATTGGAATCAATAATCATTCAAAATGTGTATACATTTTTTTATCCTGATTTCACATCATTTAAACGTACCTCCCTGACAAGGTCCTGCTCTAAGTTATGGCGTCCAAGTAACATTCTTCTCTTGAAGCGGCGGCACTCCAGCTCTAGGTATTGTCTCTGACGTCGAAGAAGATTAGCCTCTTCTTCTGCTTGGAAATGCTGTATATTCTCCTTCTGCTTTGAAAGCCACTCCTGTTTTTCTTTTTTTGGAGTGCTCTGGTTTTCATTTAGCTCCTAGCAACATAAAAAAACCACTGAGTTCAAAATACTTAAAAATTAACTACATGAATGTACCATTTGGTATCTGATATCCTATTCTATATAATAAAAGCCTAATATGCTAAGTGTCTGACTGTTCAACTGTTTGACCAGTTACTATGATGTGCACTGACTACCAGGGGGCAGACACTCCCCCTGGTTAGCTTGCTGCTGGGGTCCGGCCAACCGGGACTGGACGAGATGGGCCAGACACACCCTGGAGCTCTCCTGTGGTCCCTCCCTGACCCCGATAGTGCACCAGTGGGGTCTCTCGGCCTGGTCTGGGGGATCAGGCCAAAACCGGCTCTCGGACATCCTCCGAGGGATCCCGGATTGCGGGAAGGCACAGGCCAGGCCGAGGGATCCCCACCGGTGCCCGAATACATGCACCAGGCCTCTAGTATTTAAATAAAATATTTTACCTATGTCCTCTCTAATGAATAGGCAGGGCAATGACCTTAAAGAGGTAGGTAATATTTTTCTTTTCCTTGAGTTATCCATGAAGTAGGACAGGAAAGAAAAATGTACACTGGAAAGCATGCATACCCTTTTAACTTCGCACAGCTGAATTTATGATGGTTTCTAGCTTCAAAAGCACAAAATGACTGGTAAATGAAGTAAAACACACCTTTCTTTAATCTTTTCTGTGACAGAAGGCAATGATTTCAGGTAAAATAGTATGTGAATTAAAATTAGGGCTAAAATACAGTTATGTTTCACTTCTTGGTTTTAAACAGTCTAAATATTAAGTTTTTTTTGAAAAATTATGGATAGACTCAATGTAAAAGAATTAAAAATTAAATAGAAAAATCAACAAAACCATGGAAGAACAGAGATCTTCCTCATGAATGGCATTTAATATTTAGCATTAATAGCCACTGAACAATCAAAACCAATGTTTTACTACAGCATTTTAAGTAACATCTCATAAACTAATAAATGGAAAAAATGCATTTTATTGGGTAAGATGAGAGCATTGACAATATACTCAATGAGGCAAACCCTAGAATGCTAATTAACACTAGTATATTTTCAATCTAAAAGGCATCACAATATGCCTTTTAGGTTAAAAATAAATATAAATTAGCCATCTTTCCTAGGTATAAAATGATTTTTCAGAGATTACTAACCTTATGGTCTTTCCCGTTATCAAGAAAGAGACCAATTCTTTGCAACTTTAGTTCATAAAATATTCAAACAACAAAAAAATAAAAACCACATAAATTAGTAGCTCTCAATGTAAGGGTGTATTTGTATGCAAACTATGGGACAAGTCAGTTACTTAATAAATGCATAGGAAAGCTATTATAAGTAAAATTATATTTTCAGATGTTTCTTTTTAGATCTTAATCAACTGAGGATCTTAGTTCATTGATGAGTAATTGATTATAATCAATGTCTTCATTCGAACTGATATACATTTAGTGAACACAAGCAACAAAAGAAAACTTTATTTTGCATAGGGAATATAGTCAATATTGTTATAACTATGTATGGTGCCAGGTGAACACTAGACTTATTAAGGAGATCACTTCATAATTTATATGTCTAACCACTATGCTATACACCTGAAACTAATATTGAATGTCAACTGTAATTAAAAAAAAAAAAATTTAAAAGAGAAATTTATCCTAATGCTTCTATGAGTTGATCAGATTGGATATAATTAACAATCAGATAACTGCCTTGACAATTTTTATAAAATAAGTACCTCCTTAAGCTGTTCTTTTCGAAGTTTGTATTCTCTCTTCTGGGACTCCAAAAAGCTATTCAGTTCTTTCTTCTGTTGGGCCTGAATATGTTGCTGGAATTTTTTCTCCTCATTGGCCATCACTTTAGCCTGTAAGAAATTTTAAAAATGGATCAAATTAGTTAAATAGATTCAAAGCAGCAGTTTAATACATATCACCAATGATACCTTTGTTCCCCAAGAATATAAAATCAGTATAAACATTACCAAAATAAGAATTCCCAAATTATTATTATTACTCAGATCTTTTATTATATGAATTTTAGGAGAATCAGAAAAATAAAATTCATCTTTAAAATAATATATATCATCTGTTTTACTTCTGATTATATATTAGATACATATCTATTGTAGAACATTTAGGAAATACAGAAAAACACAAAGAAGAAAAATCTTATGTGATTTTAGCATCCAGAAATAACCAATATAAACATTTTGGTTTTGGTGATACTCTTCCTAATTTTTTCATGCATATATTTATATATACATATATATTTTAAACAAATCTGTAATTATATTGCACATCTTATTTCATGAATTGTTTTTGCAAATATGCTAATTTCTACCTCTTCTCAAGTTATTAAAAACACTACCCAAAGCCTAACAGGATTCTAAATACCTGTACATTCTTTCACAAAGTATTTCAAAATCAAGTATGTATTTACACCATAAGTTATTTTGCCAACTTCTCTACTATTGTGAGAGAGTGGTTCTTCTTTTTTTTTTGGAGGGGGGGGGAGGGTGAAAAGGGTAACAATGACAATGCCTCAATGTGGACTGGCCAGACATATTTAATGATTTTGTGTGAATTTACTGAGAAGTTTACATTTTCCTTGAAAAAATGTGACTCTCAAAATAAAATGGAACAGATGGGACACTAAAAACAGAAGAAAAGATTTCCCATGACAAGACTGCTTAAAAATACACCATTATCATACTAAACAAATAGGCTAAACCTTAATCTCTCAATTTATAACCTCTAACATGTTGTGTATATTATAATAATCTTCAATTATTCTGATATAAAAATCCTGTTACAAATTTTTTAAATGTTTTCAAAAAATACAGAGAAGAGAATCATGAATGATAATTTGAAACCTAAACCCCCTATTGAAGAGTTTCTCAAAGTCCTCAATTACCAGGGAATCCAAAGGCCTAGAATAGTTGAATGACTTACTACTGTGACACTATAAAACTATCAACATCAGGAGATGATCCCATGTCTACTGGTTCTCAGACTCAGTACTTGATATTGTACATGTTATATAAATATTTCTCCTTTTCCCCAATTGATTTGCTTGGTTCTGGGAACAGATACACTAACACCAAAATGCTACCTTGATTAATTCTGAGATGATCAAAAGTTAGAATAAATAAATTAATAATACTGAGCCCTGGCCGGGTAGCTGTTGGTTAGAGCATTGTCCTGATGTGCCAAGGTTGTGGGTTCAAACCTCAGTTAGGGCACATACAAGAATCAACCAATGAATGCAGAAATAAGTGGAACAACAAAGCGTTGTTTCTCTCTCTTCCTGTCTCTAAAAATCAATAAAAAAATTTAAAAGTTTAAAAAATGTAATACTGAATCAGTCACCTCTTTTTCCATAGCAGCCTGATGTTTCTTGATAAGTTTCTCCATTTCTGCAGCAAAATTGTTACGTTGAGTTTCAAGATCTTTATCTAATCTGAGGCGATGTTCATCCATCTCAGCCTTTAGCTTATTTTCTAGAGTCATCAGCTGCTTTTGATGTTGTCGCCTCATTCTCTTATAGCCAGACATTTGTTCTCTAAGTTCAGAGTCCTGCTCATGTTCTTGCATTTGCCTTGTAACCTAGAAGGAAAGAATAAAATAAAGCAAACATTTTCCTTTCAAAAGCATTTTAGACCACTCTGCTATTAACTAAGTAGGCAATTAATGTAAGAGATTCCAGCTAGCAATTTCCAGCAGGTCTTTTAAACAGACAAGCTGGTTCTAAAATTTATATGGGAATGTAAAGGAATAGGCAAACAATCTTGAGGCGGGGGGCGGTAGTTGGAAGCATACACTTCAGTAATCAAAATAGTGTGGTTTTAAGGATAGGCTGAGTAGATCAAAGGAAGAGAATAAAATATAGAAATAGACCCATACATATTCAGTCAATTGATTTCTGCCAAAAAGCCATTTTAATTCAAAGAGGAAAGTGTTTTTTTTAACAATCCTGCTAAAACAACTGGTTCTCTGCATAAAAATAAATAAATAAACCTTAACTCCTATGTCAATCTACATACAAAAATTAATTTGAAAAGAGTTATTTGACCTAAACATAAAACCCAGAGTCATATAGCAGAAGGAAACAGAATATCTTCACAAACTTGGGGTAGGCAAATATTTCTTGGTCAGTACACAAAATACACTGACTATAAAGAAAAAAAAATGTATAAATTGGATTTTCAAATTGAGGTGAAATTCACATAAAATAAAATCAATCACTTTAAAGTGAATACCTCAGTAGTATTTACTACATTCATAATTTTAGGCAACCACCACCTGTACCTAGTTACAAAATATTTTTTATCACCTCAGAAGAAATCCTTTATCTGTTATACAGTTGCTCCCGATTCTTCCTTTCAGGTAACCCCCAATCTGTTTTTTGTTTCTATGGATTTATCTATTCCGGGTATTTCATATAAATAGAATCATATAATATGTGACCTCTTGTGTCTGGGTTCTTTCTTTTAGCATGTTTTCAAGGTTCATCCATATTGTATAGTATGAATCAGTACTTTATTCCTTTTTATAGCTAAAAAATATTCCACTGTATGCATATGCCCTAATTTATCAATTCACCCATTGTGAATATCTGTGTTATTTCTACCTTTTGGCTATTGTGAATAATGCTGCTATGAACATTTGTGTACATGTACTTGTTTAAATACATGTTTTCAATTCTTTGGGGTATATTCCTTGGAGTAGAATTGCTGGGTCATGTGGCAATTCTGTTAATCTTTTCGAGGAATACTCAACTGTTTCCACAGCAGCCAAACCATTTTACATCCTACCAGCAGTATACAGGAGTTCCAATTTCTCCATATGTTCTCCAACACTTAGTTTCCTTTTTGTTGTTATTGCTGTTTTTAGTAGCCATTCTAGTGGTGTGAGGTGGTACCTCATTGTGGTTCTGATTTGTATTTCCCTAATGAATAATGATGTTGAGTATCTCTTTTCATGTGCTTGTTGGCCATTTGTATATCTTTTCTGAATAAATGTCCATTCAAGTCCTTTACCCATTTTTAAATTGGGTTGTTTAAACTGGATTTTAAAACTAAAAAAATTGATTTCTCATCAAGAAAACAGTAAGAAAAAGAATAGGTAAATCACAGATGGAGACAAAATATTTGCAAGATATATACGAGATATAATATTGTATCCAGACTATATAAAGAACTCCTACAAATGAATATTAAAAAAATGGACACCTGAGAGCGTCGGCCTGCAGACCAAAGGGTCCTGGGTTCAATTTCAGTCAAGTACATGTACCTCGGTTGCAGGCTCCTCCCGGGCCTGGGCCCCAGGGCTTGTGCAGGAGGCAACCAATCAATGTGTTTCTCTTACATCGATATTTCTCTTTATCTTTCCCCCTCTCTTCTACTTTCTCTAAAATTCAATGGAAAAATATCTTCAAGTGAGGATTAAAAAAAAATAAAAGGGATGGATATCTGAATAAGAAATCAGGCAAAAGACTTGAAGAGACACCCCACTAAATAACATACATGAATGGACAATAAGGGGTGATTATGGTGATATCTTTAGTCATAAGGAAATGCAAAACAAAAAGAACCCCCTATGAGATTCCATTTGACACCCACCAGAATAGCTAAAATAAAAAAGACTAACAACGCCAAATTTGAATAGGATGTGAACCAACTAAAACTCTTATACATTGCTAATGGGTATATCAAATGATACAACCATTCTGGAAAACTGTTCAACAGTTTCTTATAAAGTTAAACATACATATACCCTATGAGTCTGCAATTCTATGCTTAGGTATTTACCAAAAAGAAATTAAAACATGATATTTACATAAAGATTTGTACAAAAATATTCACAGCAACCTATGTGTAATAGCTCAAAATGGAATTCAAACCAAATGCTCATCAATAGAAGGAATGAATAAATAGAAAACTATTTATAGTAATAAAAAAGACTGAACACAGCCCTAACCAGTTTGACTCAGTGGACAGAGCATCGGCTTGTGGACTGAAGGGTCCTGGGTTCGATTCTGGTCAAGGGCACATGCCCAGGTTGTGGGCTCGATCCCCAGTGGGGGTTGTGCAGGAGGCTGCCAATCAATGATTCTATTTCATCATTGATGTTTCTATCTCTCTTTCCCTCTCCCTTCCTCTCTGAAATAAATAAAAATATATTTAAAAAAATAAAGTGTTAGTTTTCTAAAAAAAAAGACAACACAACAACATAGATGAATCTCAGAAACATTAAGCTGAGCAAAATAAGCTCAACTCAAAAGAGTACATTCTGTATGATTCTATTTATATAAAATCCAAACACAATTAAACCTAACAATAGTGAAGAAAAAGAAAGTCATGAAAATGGGGAAGTGACTAAAGAGGGATATGAAGGGAACTTTTTGGGATGACAAGAAATTTTATACATCCTGCTTTTTAAGGGGATGGTTAGCATAGGTATATACCATTATAAAAACTCTTCAAACTGACTATCTAAGATCTGTGCATTTGATTGTATGAAAAAAATTCAAGGCAAAAGAAGTTAGACTGAATTATGGTGTATAGTAAATATATTGAATACTATAGCTATGCTTATCTTTGCACATAAATCTACATACTCTGAATTTTTATTTGAAGTCAATGAAATTACAGTATTAAGTTTAAGGAAATGGATCTTAAGTTTTCTAAATCCATAACTTTAAGTGCTCTTAATTAATTTGAGGGAGCCAAATTTTGGGACAGAAGACTTGCTTGGGAAACATATAATATATACCAAGTTACAAAGATGTTTCCCCACAAACTGGCCCCTCTCTACGTATTTATTAAAATAGCTATGAAAAAAATCAAGCAACTTTGCCACTTGCTCTGTTCAAAGAGTTATTTAGATGTTACAGAATAGTAGGAATGACCCGAATTATGGTGGGAGATGGTGTTCTTGGCCCCACATGTCATACAGATTCACGGGTCACAGCATGGGGTTTATAAAATCTGCATATGTAGTTAACAAGTTAGATAACTCCCATATCTTTTTTTCTTTCTGTCATTTTTCCCAATAGCCTATCTATATATATAAAAGCCTAATATGCAAAGTGTCCCCTCGGGAGTTCGACCGACTGGGAGTTCAACCATTCACTATGATGTGTGCTGACCACCAGGGGCAGCGCGGAATGAAGGAAGGCCCAGACAGCGGCTGACAGCTGGGGAAGAGAGGCCCTGGCTGACAGCCGGCAGGCCACTAGGGACCTACCCATGCACGAATTTTGTGCACTGGGCCTTTAGTTTTTTCTATAATTTCTTTCTATGCCTAGAATCCTTTACTGTGTTTTGGTCCTACCTATTTGACTGATCAAGGTTATAAGTACCCCATCAAAACAGGGTTCCTGTAATAAGCAAATAATCATTTTTATTGTTATTTGGGAAATCAGAAAAACTACATTTTGGGTATGTCAAATTGGATCACCTGACATTTTCCAAACATTCCCCCTCATTTTGTTTAGCCTCAGTATTTCCTTGTCAATTCTTACGTGGAAATAACATTTTTCCTCTTCCTCCAGCCTAAAACTAATTATTTAAGGCTCAATTTGTTTTATAAATACTTCCTTTATGCCCTAAATTAAAAGTAATCTGAATTGCCCAGCCAGCGTGGCTTAGTGGTTGAACACTGACCTATGAATGAACCAGAAGGTCACGGTTTGATTCTGTGTCAGGGCACATGCCCAGGTTTCAGGCTCAATCCCTGGTGTGGGACATGGAGGCATGGAGGAGGAAGCCAATCAATAATTCTCTCTCACCATTGATGTTTCTATCTCTCTCTCCCTCACCCTTCCTCTCTGAAATCAACAAAAAATATATATTTTTTAGAAAGTCATGTGAATTCCTATTGAGTATCTTGTAGTACTCTTAATATATTCTAACATATTAGTTATTTGTGTACATGTCTTGAAGATATTATTAGTTTATTTATTTTTTAAAAATATTTTTATTGATTTGAGAGAGGAAGGGAAAGGGAGAGAGAGATAGAAACATCAATGATGAGAGAGAATCATTGATGGCTGCCTCCTGCTAGTCCCCCGATGGGTTTTGACCCACAACCTGGGCATGTGCCCTAACTGGGAATCAAACCCTGATCTCCTGGTTCATAGGTTGATGCTCAACCACTGAGCCACGCCAGTCGGGCAGAAGATATTATTAGTTTAATGTGTGTTTCATATATTCTTTCTCCTAACAGGCACTTAATTCTGAATAAATGTTTTGCAAAATAAACCTCAAATACAAAAAAAAAAAAAAAATCATTATATTTGAGTATAGATGACAAGGTCCAACATGGAAAATATACTTCAAATTCAGGTGAAGCACATACCAGTGATGCTGTCCGTATAGTAGCAAAGTGTTCTCGATTACGATAGTGTGATTTATGACGAGATACTTGGGGTGGAGATTGTGGATCTGATGCTCTTGTTCTAGGATCTCCCTCTTCTCTATAATTTTCTTCCTCCTAAATAAAAAAAGAGACAACACTATTTGAGGTGAACAGAGTTCATCTGAACTTTTAAGATAATGAGCTTAAAATGACAACCTGATCAACAAACCTCAGACACAATTTTAAAAACAAACGAAAATTAGGAATGCTGATATTTTATTTTCAACATAATTAGAATCAGGAGACATCATTTCTTCAGTGTGTGAAATAGCACAGAGATTCAGGATAAGAAAATGTATAAGGCTAGATTTATATCCTACTCATATGTGAAATTGCAAAGCTTTAATATGACTTGAAAATGATGATGAAACATGCAGCCAATATTTTAAACAGCAGCAATGAAATTAATTTCTTGAAGGCTCCTGGGTTTTAGAAGCAATAATATAGCTTAGAAATATCTTTATAATGCGTCTGCCATTTGTTCAAGTAATAAAAAAATAGTTGTAAATTGATGTCTTTCCTTATATATTACCTTAGTTCATTAACTAAAGAGAAGTCAATTAAGTAGAAACCAACTAATTATGGGACTAATTTTTTATATTGCTGATTCTATTGTAAGAATATAAAAATTAAACAGGATTTTGCTCTAACACTTCCACTTATCTAATCATTCTTATAAGTTCTTTGTATCTGATAAAATATATGTAATATAATATTTGCCATTTTAACCATCTTTAAGTATATAAGTCAGTGGCATTAATTACATTCTCAATGTTGTGCAACCATTGTCACTATTTCCAAATGGAAACTCTGTATCCATTAACAAAAACTTTCCTCTACTCAGCCCCTGGTACCCTTTAATCTACTTTCTAACTCTACAAATTTGCCTATTCTAGATATTTCATATAAATGGAATTACACAATATTTGTCTTTTTGCATCTGGTTTGTATCACTTAGCATGTTTTCAAGGTTCACTCCATGTAGCAATCAGAATTTCATTCCATTTAATAGCTGAATAATATTCCATTAGATGTATATACCACGTTTTGTTTATTCATTCATTGATGGACACTTATGTTGGTTCCACCTTTTAGCTAATGGTGTTTACTAACATTTTAGGTAATACCACAAGCTGTTAAGTTAAAAAGGAAGCATTCTTAATAATTGCTAAAAGGAGCTACCTGACCTCAAATATTTTTAAGAAAATTAAAAATTTTGTACTTGAAAGTGCAAAAAATGTAGCATACAACCCTATTTCTTATATACAGAATTTATACTTTTCTGTAACTACACTCCGTTTTTTTAAAAAAGTTATCTTTATTGTTGAAAGTATTACAGATGTCCACCTTTTTACCCCCATTTACCCCCTCCTCCCCACTCCTGTCCCCTCCCCAGGCCTTCACTGCACTATTGTCTGTGTCCATGGATTATGCATAAACTATACTCAATTTTATTTTAAACATGTAAACATGGATAATGCAAAAGTTGTGTTTTTTTTTAATCCTCACCTGAGGATATTACTTTCATTGATTCAAGAAAGAGAGGAAAGGAGAAGGAGAGAAAGAGAGAAACTTCCATTGGTTGCCTCAGGTATGTGCCTTGACAGGGAATTGTGTCCATGACCCTTTGGTGCATAGGATGATGGTCTAACACTGGCCAGGGCCCAAAGTTACTTTTGATCATCTTAATCCTTTCTCCCACTCCCCAAAAGCAACCATTATCACTAATTTCATGTGTATACTTACTATTTTAAAAACTTTATTTCCCATCATTAGTACTTCAAATAATACATTATGTATCTTATTTCTGTATTTCTTCTAAAATTTTAAAAAACATTATTTTTATATTCTCAAAACATTAGTTTCCCAAATGCAGACATTACATTGGGAATTAACAAGCCTATTGTTCCAAATTTCTGAAACATTAAAAAAAAATTCCTCTTACAGTAGTCAGATAAAGAAAATTATTTACCAAAGTTGAAATTTTTCAATAAAAACCCAAATACTCACAGGTTTTAAGTGGATGACAGAACTATTAGACATCACTGTATGATCTCCCTCCATCATGTCTAGCTCACTCTTGTCATCCGAGGCATCTGGAAGACTGTTAACACTACTGCTTTGGCTACTGGCACTAATGGACATACTGGGAATCGACTGATTACTTCCAACACTATTCACTGTTCCTGTCCGTCCAACACCATGATCTTGTTCCTAAGGGAAAAGAGCATTAGGTTCAAATATCGGTATTTCTTTTGAATTCTTGAATACAAGTACCTTGCACATTGGTTGGCATACAGTCTTCAGAAAGTCACAGGTCTATCATGAGAAATCCCCTTTAATTGTCAAACCAGTAAGTTTACCAACTGTTCCTTGTCAGTAAAAAAACCCAACCGTGGGTAAAAGTCAGCTAATCAGTTTTGGGTTATTTCTAAAGTGTAGCATTTTCTCTAAACTGATATTTTTAAAATCCATTTCTACCACACAATTCATGGGCTATATATAGAGATTATGCTCATTTCTCAATGATTCCCATGGTTAAAACAAGCCCCAACTTTTTTTTTAAATCTTATAAACAACCCACCCCCCACCACACCCTTTTAAATATTTTTATTGATTGCAGAGAGGAAGTGAGGAGAGACAGAAACATCAATGATGAGAGAGAATCACTGATCGGCTGCCTCCTGCACACCCTTCACTGGGGATCGAGCCCACAAGCTGGGCATGTGCCCTTGACCGGAATCGAACCTGGGACCCTTCAGTCTGCAGGCTGATGCTCTATCCTCTGAGCCAAACCGGCTACGGCTAAACAACCCCTTTTAATTATTTTTTATTGAAGCCTTTTATATGTATACTAGAGGCCCGATGCACGAAATTCATGCAAGGTGCTCGGCCCTCACAGCCACAGCAGCTTGCCTCAGCCCTCACAGCCCTGGCTTTGTCCAGAAGGTCATTTGGCTGTCCAGTCTAATTAGCATATTACACTTTTATTATTATAGATTTTCCTTTCTTCCTCAGTATAAAATCTCTAGCCCATCCTCTACCACCATATAATTAACATTAATTCTTATCCATTTTTGTGTAAATTGAAAATGACATATTACTTAAGTATTTAATCATAATCATAGATTGTTTTTCTGAAGTAACCAGGCAAGCAATGGTATCTAGGCACCAACGTAATAGCAGTCTTACCATATCAAAATTCTATAAGACATGCAGAATTTTTTAAAGATATGCAGAATTTAATTAATATAGACCAGTAGTTCCCAATCTTTTTTTGACCATGCCCCACCTGTGACATATAATTCTTATTATTTAAAATTGAACTCCTATTCACATGGAGGAAGCCTAAAAGGCCATTAACTTGGTCTAAACAAGCTTCCAAAGAACATGGCATCCGTGAAAGAGAAAAATAAAAGAATGAAAGGACAATTGAAGTACTGAGGAAGAAATCACTAAGAAATTGTTTAAAAAATAATAATATATGAAGTGATATGAAAAAATAGCAAAGTTTCAAAACATGCATAAATACGTCACTATATATTTATATACTGTATATGAGGCCCCTAGAACCATAAGAAATGCAAAAAATTCACTGTTCATAACTCATTCTTGAATTGCCCCCCTTAAAAATCAAATTGCCCCCATGTGGGGCCTGTGCCCCACGTTGGGAACCACTGATATAGACCCATGGTGTGTATATCTCTCATTATATATAGATATATATCTTGCCCTGGCTGACTTGGCTCAGTGGATAGAGCGTCAGCCTGCGGACTGAAGGGTCCCAGGTTCGATTCCGGCCAAGGGCACATGCCTGGGTTGCGGGCTCAATCTCCAATGGGGTGCGTGCAGGAGGCAGCCAATCAATGATTCTCTCTCATCATTGATGTTTCTTTTTTTTTAAAATATATTTTTATTGATTTTTTTACAGAGAGGAAGGGAGAGGGATAGAGAGTTAGAAACATCGATGAGAGAGAAACATCGATCAGCCGCCTCCTGCACACCTCCTACTGGGGATGTGCCTGCAACCAAGGTACATGCCCTTGACGGGAATCGAACCTGGGACCTTTCAGTCCACAGGCCGACGCTCTATACCCTGAGCCAAACCAGTTAGGGCATCATCACTGATGTTTCTCTCTCTCTCTTCTTTCTCCCTTCCTCTCTGAAACCAATAAAGAAATATATTTTATAGATATATACTCATACATATATGAACTTATATATCCCTAGCCTATCAAAGATGCTACATTAAAATTATAGATTTAACTACATTAGAATTTTATTAATTTCACAACTCTGCTAAAATACTCATATATTTAAAAATAGCCCCAAACAATTTTCTAATGACTATTATAAGAATTAATAAAATAAAATAAAAACAAAAAACTGTAAGTTAAGAAAGTATTGTATTTTATAGTTCATTAACTATGAAGCACTATTAAAAAGAAAAGTAAGTACTGCTCCTGGTTTCAGAATGCAAAGTGATCTCCTTCACTGGAAAGTAATACAAAAAAAAAAATCAAAGCTTTGGAATTCTAACAGAAATACAGAAGAAAACTGAAAATATTTAGAGTGAAAAAGATAAGGTGAATTAACCATTCCGAGCCTTGCTTTATTCATCTGTAAAATTAGTATTTTAGAACTGTGTAGATGGAATAAAATTGTAGAGAACTGAAAAGAATCAAGTGTCTATAGGGACAAAGCAGAACACTTGGTCACTTTCTGAGTGAGTATTGGCAACTTCCAGAGTTTATTATTTCAAATATTTCCAAAAGCGTGTCCCATGAAATTGGAGAATAGTAAAAAAAAAAAAAAAAAAAAAGGGTTCAGTGGCCAAGAACTTTGAGAGGGACTACATTAAATAAAGTTGAACAGGTTTCTTTAATAAAAGGACTCACAGGGCTTTACTATGCCAATGTACATTAAGAAGGGGTTGGGTTTGCCCTGACCGGTTTTGCTCAGTGGATAGAGCGTCGGCCTGCAGACTGAAGGGTCCCAGGTTCGATTCTGGTCAAGGGCATGTACCTTGGTTGCGGGCACATCCCCAGTTGGGGGTGTGTGCAGGAGGCAGCTGATCGATGTTTCTCTCTCATTGATGTTTCTAATTCTCCATCCCTCTCCCTTCCTCTCTGTAAAAAATGAATAAAATATATTAAAAAAAAAAAAAGAAGGGGTTGGGTTTAAATAATGCAAAATCTTTTTCCCACCTGGGATCTTTACAGGAAAAAGATAAGGATCCTTACAGGACCTCAGGTAAGAAAACACAATCTAGGAACCACTGATCTAAAAGATTTGTGACAAGACAGATTATATAAGGAAAGAAGGCAATGAAGAGAGCTCAATATTTCAGTAATTTCTAAGTTATTACCTCTTCTTCTTCCTGTGCTTCTACTGCTGGTCCATTATGTGCCTCCTGGAAAAGGAGTTTCTTCATTTTTCTATATTGCAGATTGTCCAGCTCTCTTACTGCATCCTTTGTCCTTTGAATGAGATCTATTAACACTGTTTCAGGGCGCTCCCGAAGAACAAACATGTGCTGGATAAGAGAAAGTAAAAGTTAAAACCTATGCTGTATATATTTTTTAATTAGTACAAATGTACCCCTCCTAGAATTACTATCCTAAATAATTATGATAGATATTGCATATAATCTATAGCTACCTAATTCTATTATACTTCTGACTTCTTTCATTTACAAAGTTGTCATTTACACATATATACTCTGTGCCTACATAACCACCCCTGCAAATTTTATAAAAACTTTGAACATAATACTTTTGTTGGCCAACTGAAAACACTGAGTTAAAATAGTCAAAAAGTCTAATTAAACTCTAAGAATTAAGTTCAATTATTAAATTAGAGCCCTAAATAAAGGCTAAATAAAGGTTTACATATTCTAGAACTGCTGATTTCACAGATAAGGCACGTTAGTTCTTAGTTAGGTTTCAACAGGAATGTATTTACTGATGGTGGTTTTATGTCACATGAAACCTTGATATTATTGACTCCTTTATATGTTCCATAAGCAACACTTCATAAAACACTAGCAGCTGATTAAAAGCCATTATATTGGTGATTTTTCATTTCTTTTTAAAAATGTTTTTATTAATTTCAGAGAGAGGAAGGGAGAGGGAGGGAGAGAAAGAAACATCAATGATGAGAGAGAATCACTGATCAGCTGCCTCCTGCACATTCCCTACTGGGGATTGAGCCCCAAATCAGGGCATGGGCCCTCACCGGAATTGAACTGTGAGCTCTTGGCTCATGGGTCACCCCTCAAACACTGAGCCATGCTTGCTGGGCATTATTAGTGATTTTTACCATTAACATTTAATAAAGCTTAACCTTATCAAATACAGAAAAATAGAAAGAACAACTCCACCATTAGAAGTACCATTGTTACATTTTGGCATATTTCTTTTCTTCCATTTTTTCAATTACAGTTGATATTCAATATTATATTAGTTTCAAGTGTACAGCATTGTGGTTAGGTATTTTAAAAACTTATGAAGTGATCCTCCCAATAAGTCTAGTACCCACCTGGCATCATACATATAGTTACTACAATATTACCGATTACATTCTCTATGCTGTATTATATGCCAGTGATGGTGTATTTCTTTTCAGAAATTTTCTATGTATAAATTTTGTTTTGTGAATAGTTAGCATATAGATTGCAGAAAGATTCCTTCTACCCTGAGTTCATGAAATGCCCTTGAATTCTTATAACACTTTTACCTTCTTTGTTAGTTTAAATTTATTTCTTCATTATGCAGAGTTAACTACATATTTTATTCTACTTTTTGTCATAAGTATTACGTTATTTCAACTCATAAACATGTCTACAGAACATTTCATCAAACATTTATGCCAAAATTATTTAAGCATTATCCTAATTCTGGATGGTTATTTCCAATTTTTATTTCTGAGATAAATAGCTTCATACATTAGAAAAACTTTTTTCTATTTTTTCTTTTCTTTATGATGGACTGTGACAGAAATGTAATTAGGCCAAAGAAAAAGAAGCACTTGATAGATACTTTCCAATAAGGCTGTGCCAATACACTCAGAATTCAATAAAGGTAAATGAATACTACTTGTAGTCTTGGGATCTATTCTCCAAATACCAAATACCTGACCCTGGTGGGTTAGGTTTTTGTCAAAAGAGTTTATGCTTAGGCAAGTGTAAGAAGGCAGTAACATTCTTCCTTTTTCCTGAGCCTTAGTTTCTTGGTATGTACCACTATCTACAATATTAAGTCTTCTTCTATTATTATTATTACTAGAAGCCCAGTGCATGAAATTCTTGCACTGGTAGGGTCCCTAGAGGCTGCTGGCTGGGGCCTCCCTCCCTTCCCCTGGCCAGCTTGCCCCCTAGTCGAACTCCCGGGAGAACTCCAGTAGAGGGGACAATTTGCATACTACACTTTTATTATATAGGATTATTATTACTAGAGGCTCGATGCATGAAATTAGTGCAGGGGTGGGGTCCCTAGCCCTGGCCGGTGATTGAAGCGAGAGCGTCTGGCATGGAAGGGCAGGTCCCAGCTGACCTCTGGGTCCTGGGCAGCACCTGAATCCCTGGGCCCCTGCTCGCCCCCCTCCGCCTGAATCACTGCGCCTGAGTCCCCACATGGAGATGTGGTGAGCACGGCCAGATGCTGCGAGCCGGGGTGCAGCGTGGACCTCTGGGCCACCCAGCGGCACCACATGGAAACTGGGTAAGTAGCATGCTCTCTCCAGACCGGCTCCTGCATGAACCCATGGGGAGCCCGACCAGCCCCTGCGGTCCCAGCGGCTGTTGCCCAGCTCACCCGGAAGAGGCCATGTGGGTGAGGGGGCGGACTCTTCGCGGGCGCCCGGCACCTGAGCACAAGGGCTTCCCTGGCACGCGAGCCCTGGCATCCTGGGAGAGGGTAGCAGGGGGTGTGAGTGAGTTTGGCAGGCATCCCACATTCTCACCGCACCTCCGTCCCTGTCACCCCTGCCCCCAGGTAGCCAGCAAGAGGTCACAGCATGTCACCAACACCCGCCATGTTACGTGCCGCCCCCTGGTGGTCAGTGCACATCATAGCGAGTGGTCGAACTCCTCGTCTCCCAGTCAAGCGACCGCTCGAGGGGACAATTTGCATATTAGGCTTTTATTATATAGGATTATTATTATTATTTAATCTTCACCTGAGGACATATGTATTGATTTTAGAGAGAGAGGAAGGGAGAGGGAAACATTAATCAGTTGCCTCCCATACACACCCTGACTGGGGATCAAAACTGCAACCTCAGCATGTGCCCCAACTAGGAATTGAACCTGCAACCCTTCCGGTGCGTGGGGCAATGAATACTCCAACCAACTGAGGCGCAGGGGCCAATATTTAGTCTTATTAAAAAATATGTATTTTTAAGTTTAATAATTTTCTACATATAGATCTTGCTTATTTTTCACTAACATAATTCCTAGGTATACTGAACATTTTGTTGCTGCAATGAGTACCTATTTATTCAGGCTTTCATTACTGAAACTGTATTGCTCTTCAACATACTATGGTTGCAAACAATACTACTGAATATATATATGAAGATTTTCTTTGTATCTTTAACTGCTGTTCACTGAAAATAAGCTGAACCGCTTTGAAACTCTAAAACATTCATGTAATAAAAGTCTACTTATATCTTGTAGTGAAAATCAACAAGATTCCTTAGGGTCACAAAGAGAGACACAAATACTATTTACTAATAATGTCTTAACTGGATGTCTTAGGAAGTATATTAATTTCAACAATACTACTACTGTTATTAAGAAGATGGTAAGCCTACAAATGAAATAATAATTTTTTGAGAATATAAAGAATACCAATAATGTGTTTAAATTAAGCAACAAATCTATTGAAAACTGAATAGAATTTACATAATTTAAAAAATATTTTCAGCCATGGCTGGTCTGGCTCAGTGGATAGAGCATCAGCCTTCAGACTCAAGGGTCCCGGGTTCGATTCTGGTCAAGGGCATGTACCTTGGTTGCGGGCACATCCCCAGTAGGGAGTGTGCAGGAGGCAGCTGATCGATGTTACTTTCTCATCAATGTTTCTAACTCTCTATCCCTCTCCCTTCCTCTCTGTAAAAAATCAATAAAATATTTTTAAAAATATATTTTCATTAAGTTAGAAAAAGATATTTCCAGAAAGGAAACAAAAATGATAAACATTTTTAAGTTTCTCTTGAAATCTCTCTTCTCCCACAATATTTACATAAATATATCACACCATTTTCTTTCATATTATTTTAATATAGGACAGATCAATATATAAAGTATTATAGATATAATAAAATTATATTAAAATTTAACTGTTTTGCCAACTAAAATATAACATTATTCCATATAAACCAAAATTTATAATTATAACTCATGAATATATTCTTGCATATATAAAAATGTAGCCATTTGTTACTATTTTGAATATTTGACTATATATTGTATTCAGCAACAGTAAAACCAGTTAATCACTTTTGGAAAGAAAAAAAACAAATGAAAAACTTAGCATCTGAGAAAACTTACAAACAATATTCTAGTAAAAATGGTAGAGCATTCTTTTTTTAAAAACATTTAATTTTTTAATATTTTTTAATCCAAGGATATTTTTCCATTGATTATAGAGAGAGTGGAAGAGAGAGGGAAAGACAGAGAAAAACATCGATGTGAGAGAAACACATTGATTGGTTGCCTCCTGCAGGCGCCCTGACCATGGCCCAGGCTGGGGAGGAGCCTGCAACCACATGCCCTGGACGGGAATCAAACCTGGGACCCTTTGGTCAGTAGGCTGGCGCTCTATCCACTGAGCCAAACTGAGCCAAACTGGCTAGGGCTGGTAGAGCATTCTTAATACTGATTCAGAATCAAACAAGAATAAAGCACATTTTAAAAAATAATTTCTTAGGGATAAAAAACCGATTTAAGAATATAAACTGACCTTTAAAAGTTCCTCTGATGTAGGGCGATCTTGAGGGATTTTCTGGAGGCAAGAATCTACAAAGTTGCGAAAATAATCAGACCTATTGTAAAGGAAAGTATCAAGTGAACATATTGCTATTTTTAAAAACAGATCCACAAATCAAGGTATGTGCCTATTGGTGGGAGGGGGGATGGAAAAAATTATAAAAGCAAGCAGACACGATACACTATGTATTTCATATAAATCTATGAAAACCATCTAAAGCAGTGGTTCTCAACCTGTGGGTCGCGATCCCTTTGGGGGTCGAACGACCCTTTCACAGGGGTCGCCTAAGACCATCGGAAAACACATATATAATTACAGATTGTTTTTGTGATTAATCACTATGCTTTAATTATGTTCAATTTGTAACAATGAAAATACATCCTGCATATCAGATATTTACATTACGGTTCATAACAGTAGCAAAATTACAGTTATGAAGTAGCAACGAAAATAATTTTATGGTTGGGGGTCACCACAACATGAGGAACTGTATTAAAGGGTCGTGGCATTAGGAAGGTTGAGAACCACTGATCTAAAGCAACCAGTGAACCTTTACCATTTTTCAAAGATAAATTTGCACAGATTATTTAAAAATCTTGCTCTCACATAATAACACAACTCGTTCTAAATTATGGCAAAATTAGGGAAGTCAATTTTTTTCTTCTTTGCATTCAAATCTAAAATGGCATTCTTCTCAATTTGTTTTCTCTCTTCTCTAAGCCATCTCTTCCTTGTTTGCTTCTTGGATTATCTCCTATATAGCATGTTTCAGAACATCACTCTTAGCTTTGGAGGGAGCATTTTGTATACCTATTTGATATCCCTGAACAAATGGATAAAATTTCCATTAAACCCAGAAAACCAATTATGTTATTTTTAAAAACATTAGAAGTCTGCAACATATTATTATAGCGTGTTATGAGAAGAGTTCAGTGAGCAAGGCAGTAAGTAATAATTTATCGTTTGTCTTCAAATATCAAATAACATTTTATGTTCCTTGTGCAAGAATTTTTTTGAATCCCCAAAGAATCTAAGTCTGTGTTCAATATATTTATTATTTATATGTACCATAATACTAAACTGTGCCAAAAGATTTCTTCTATATGTCTCTAATTTATGTGCCTTAATTATGTAATCCTTAAAAAATAAAGTATCACTAATTTATGCATCTACTTGTGAATTTTAAAGTATTTATTAAATATACTAGAGGCCTGATGCACGAAAATTGTGCAAGAATAGGCCCTCAGAGCCCCGGCTGCCTCGTGGCCTGTCCCCCTGCCCACTGGTTGTTCCAGAAGGTTGCCAGGAAGGTCGTTCCGGAAGGTCATTCCGCCGTCTGGTCTAATCAGCATATTAACTCTTTATTATATAGGACTAGAATTTCTCCTATAATTTTTCAAATGCTAGATACACCTGAAGAATTAATTTCCCATTAAAATTTTCTATCACTAATAAAAATTCTAGTTTTTAAAAACTATCAATCTGTTTTACATAAACTTCTTTACATAAATGAACTTCATTTTATCAAATCAAGGAAGCACTAGGAAAAGGAACATCAGAGCATTCTGAATAATAAATAACATAAAAACTAGAATAACCACAAAGTTATAAATTATCTGATAATTCTGATAAATCAAGTCATTTTATCTATGTTTTTTTATACCATATAAATTAAAAACCATTCTCCAACAAAATATCACTACAGGTATCGCCATCTACATATTTTAGTTATAAAATATTAATGTTTAAATTGTGTTATTTATTATATAATCAGGGTAATATATATTCCTAAAGTTCAAAGAAAATATAAATTTTTGTAAAAAGCAGTATTTTTTGCTTCCATGTAGCATCACTGAGATGCATATGCTATGAAAAGCAGATATAATAAAGGATAAACAAGATATAGGGGTAAAATAAACCAATTTTATTTTACTTATCTTTATCAAGAGTTTATTTAACTCAGGTTCACTGAGGGAATTAAACAAGCCAATAGCATACAGGATAACGTCTCTTAATAAGCCAATAAAAATAACATACTCCAAAGTAATGATGGATTAATTAGACTACTGTTACAGGAATAAGCCTATTTTCATCTCTCTTCAGATAGAAATACATTTTACCTAGTTGAAATGAAATCATTTTGATAACATTATAAGAACGCATTTAATTTATAAAATGTTGAGTAATGTATCTCTTAGCAATACTCACCATTCATTAGACTGTAGTGTAGGGGATTCATTTTGGGCTATGTGATATAAGGCACTCATTGCATTCATATTAAATAAAGGAGGCTTTCTTTCCGCTGTAAGAGAAAGAAAACTTGTTATTGTTCTTGCAAATATTGTTAAAGTTTTTTAAAAATAATTTCAAACTTGGCAAAAAAATTGCAAGTTGAGTTAAAAAAACACATTCAAGTATATCAATTTAGATTAAATTGCTGAATTGATGCTCTACCATTCCTAAGTACTTTAAAACAGGAACTCCCTACTAAGAACAATAATACCTCCATTAAATCAGGCCATTAATGCTGATACATGACTTTCATCTAATCCTCAAACCCCATTCAAGTTTCAATCATATGTCAAATAATGTCCTCTGTACCAAAAGTGAGCTTTGTTCATTTGTGTCCTTCAAGAAAATTGTCTATTTTATCTAAGTTGTTAAATTTATTAACATAAAAATATTCGTACTATATCCTGAGAGTCCTTTTAATGCCTGTAAACTCTGTAGTGAAGTTACTTCTTACAGCTGATACTGGTAATTTGTGTCTTCTTTCTTTTTTGCCTGATAAATCTGGCTAGAGGTTTATCAATTATCTTGGGTTGAATTTGCTCTTCTTTCTCTAGAGTCTTAAAGTAAAATGTAAGACACTAGAGATGTGTCTTAAATTTTAACATCTACTTCTGTGGTGTTCCTGCCAAAGATGTGTAACCTAAATTTAATCATATTTAAAAAAAAGATACTTTCAAATGGAAGAAATATTTTATAAACCTCAAAATGAGACCAAAAGATAAGAAGAAAATGACATTATGATAGTCTCCAAACCTCAGTTTACTGATGTTGTCAAACTTAAAAATGATATAAAGCCTGAAGGCAATGGTTAATATAGGAATTCCAATACAAGCAAAAATAGTATTTTGGAAAATATTAGACTGCAAGGTAGAAACAGTCTGGTTGTATTGGAAATATTCATCTACTGTGTAATGATAAGCAATCTTTACCTTTATTTTTACCTCAATTTCCCTATTACTTGTTTTAGAAAACTACTAATAAACCCAGGTTGATACTGATTTATCAAAATTACACATGGATTTTACTATTAACATCTTCTTTTCAATCCTTGATTACTACTAGAAGTGTTTAAGTAAATATTCCCAGTATTTCCCACTTGTAAATAAAGTTTAATAGAATATTCCTGTAAGAAGAAAAAAAGGAAAGGATATTGGGCTAATGTGGAAGGGGGGAGGACGGGTAGCTTGGGGAATCAAGAGCAAGATGTTCATCCTCTTTGATTACAGTGACAGTTCAATTACCTACCTGGTTCACTTACAGTGGGAATGTTAGTATAGTTAAGATAGTCCACTGCCTTAAGCATAGTTCCATTCATGGACAACAGAATAAAATGTGTGCACAAAATCAAAATACTACATACAATATGACATACAGCCTGACTTCTAATTATCATACCTAACTTAAAGTCATAAGTATCTTAGGTAGAGGTAAGTAATTCACAAATGCTTTAGAGATCTGCTATACATGGTAAATCTAGTAAATATAGACATATTCCAGGTGTTTAACAAATACTCATTAATATTAGACATAGATACTTTGACCCATAGTGAAAATTTTTTTAGATCTAATTTAACAGAGCAAATATAATATACTTAACCTAATACATATAAAAATAACTGGTCACCAAAATGAAAACTTTAATAAATTTATTGCTCCCCTTAGTAACTGACAAAATAAAAAACAAACCTATAATTTGGTACAGGAATTGATGCAAGACATTGATTAAATCTTACTACACAGTAATATTAAAGAATGCTTACCTAGTTCAATACATGTTATTCCAAGAGACCATACATCTACTTTGCCATCATACTGTCCTTCATCCATGGCTAAAATTACTTCTGGGGCCATCCTAAAACATAAAATGTCATTTAAAGTTAAAAAAATTGTAATAGTCATTAAAATATAATGACTATCTACATGGAGAACACCTGTGTGAATTGCAGATAATATATCTGGACATAAGAATTTTTATAATGGGAAATGAATACATTACAGGTTGTAAGGTAAATAGTTACCATTGCACAGATAGTATAAGACTTATTTTTACTATCTGTCATGATCATATAATTGCATCCTAAAGGAAGGATGCCACAGAGGGGGTTGTATTCTGCATCTGTTCAAGCTCGCAGATTCTAATATTGTATATCCTTTAGGCCAGTGGTGGCCTCAGGATCCCATTACAAACATCTAACTTTTGCTAGAAAGAGGGAATGAATACCAGAAATTATCTTCCTTGAAGTTACAAGCTCACTTCATTTACTTAAGAAAATATTTGCCATAATAACCAACACTAATTACCATAGTTTGTCAGTCTTTCAAATAAAAATAGTGTTCTGTGATAAAAGTGTTTCTTAGCCCGGCTGGTGTTGCTCAGTGGTTGAGTGTTGACCCGCGTAACAGGAGGTCCTGGTTTGATTTGGGGTTGCAGGCTCTATCCCCAGTAGGGAGCATGTAGGAGGCAGCCAATCAATGATTCTCTCATCATTGATGTTTCTCTCTCTCTCTCCCTCTCCCTTCCTCTCTCTGAAATCAATAAAAAATTTTAAAAAGTGTCTAGGGAGACTCACAATGGAAACAATCAATTATCAACCTTATAGGTATCTTGGTTATAAAATGAAACATTAATTCCTATCTTCAACTAGAGTCTAACATTTTTTATGGTACTTTAACCTTACACTTCATTTGCATTTGGAGTTAAGCACAGTCAGACACTTAAAAACACTCACCGACTTTAATGAGTTTGTGACCAGGAACCCCTGTGTGTGTGCTCATGCAAAGACATGTAAATATTGCCTAGTTCCTGTGTTCCAAATACACTACATACAAATTAACAAATATGAAGAAAAACTCAAAAAAAACCCAAACTAATAAATATGTAAATAAAGTAAATTTTCAATCATCAATAATTGGGTGTTTCCAATATGTTCTTTAAAATGTTGAAGTAAGTTTAAACAAAATTAAACAAGTAATTTTTTTAAATTGTAGAACTTCATGGGGCTTTTAAAATATCTAATATTCACCATTAATTTCTAAAGAGAACCATTAAGAAATATTATTTGCTCACAGAACCTTTGTTTTATATAGGGGAGGGAGACTCTATCTAAACTAGGGTCCACATAAAAAATTTTTGGTCTTCTGGAACAGTGGTCTTCAAATTTTTAAAAAAATATATATTTTATTGTTTTTTTACAGAGGAAGGGAGAGGGATAGAGAGTTAGAAACATCAATGAGAGAGAAACATCGATCAGCTGCCTCCTGCACACCCCCTACTGGGGATATGCTCGCAACCAAGGTACATGCCCCTGACTGGAATTGAAGCTGGGACCCTTGAGTCCGCAGGCCGACGCTCTATCCACTGAGCCAAACCGGTTAGGGTAGTCTTCAAATTTTTTTTACTCATTTACCTCCAGTGAAATTATAAAAACTAGTATCCCCTTGCACATTTGAGTTTATACCTAAATTTTAATAATTTAATATTTGCAAAAGATATAATGCACAGTGTACACACACACAGTATATTGTATATCTGCTTTAAAGATATTTAAAACTTGGAGCTGCAGAATTAGCTCATTCAATTTATCAAAACCACTACCATATAACTTAATTAGCAAAGCCAGTGTTCATGCTATCAATCAGTCGAATCAGAATCATCTGTCAGAAAAAAATCTGACTTCATTTTTCAATACAAATAACATGTTAATGTGTCCCTATGACAAACATCTTGGTTATGAATTCTACAATTAGAAAAAAAAAGAAGGGAGGAAAGATAACTGGGGAGAAAAAATAAAAAGCAAGGAATAAAGGAATGTGAAAAGAGATAATAAAAAAGGCACCAGGCCTTACTAAGAGTTTGTGTCCTGATTCTTCAATGTTTTTTACAGATTATATTCTGAAATTGTCCCTCTGGTGCTGCTCTGAGGCTTTTATATCCCAGGGCAATGCATCATTATAATATACAGAATGGGCAAGAAGCCTTTCTTTTATAAAGTGGGAGAAAGGAGATTTGAAAGGTCCATGGGAAAAAAGATGTAGTGGACCTAAGACAACACTCTCTGCATACACAGAGAAATAGGACACATATGGATAGAAGTTGAAAATTATTCCCTTCAAACTTGCTGACATTAATACTAAATTATTTATGGTTAAAATTACATGTTGTCTAGAATTTGCTTCAAAATAACTGAGGGGTGGAGAAGAAGGGGAGAGGAGTGAAGACATAGGTTGGGAATGGCCATGGGATAATGTCGTTGGGGTGAGTGGTATGTGAAGATTTATTATACTTTTCTTGACTTTAAATTTTTTTATTGTTTGATTGATCTTAGAGAGGAAAACATCAGTTTATTTTTCCATTTATTTATGCATTCATTGGTTGATTCCTGTATGTGCCCTAACTGGGGATAGGACCCATACCCTATAGCACAGGGGTGGGCAAACTTTTTTACTCGAGGGCCACAATGGGTTCTTAAACTGGACCGGAGGGCTGGAACAAAAGCATGGATGGAGTGTTTGTGTGAACTAATATAAATTCAAAGTAAACATCATTACATAAAAGGGTACGGTCTTTTTTTTTTTTTAGTTTTATTCATTTCAAACGGGCCATAGTTTGCCCACGGTTGCCCTAGCACATGGGGATGATGCTCTAACCAACTGAGCTACCCGGCCAGGACACTCTTGTTGACTTTTATGTGTATTTTCAATTCTCTATAACATAAAAAACAACACCCCAAACTCCAAGTTAGCTACCAGTCTTGAGGTATGTTAGTCTGAAGATCATTGATATATAGTAAATATAAACCTAAAGAAAACACAAATTTACACTTACCATTTCTATCTACTCCCCACTTCAATTTTTATTGAAATTTTTTCACTTCCACACCCACCGTATGAGGCAGATAATAATACGAAAGAAGCCGAAACCGGTTTGGCTCAGTGGATAGAGCGTCGGCCTACGGACTGAAGGGTCCCAGGTTCGATTCCAGTCAAGGGCATGTACCTGGGTTGCGGGCACATCCCCAGTAGGAGGTGTGCAGGAGGCAGCTGATCGATGTTTCTCTCTCATCGATGTTTCTAACTCTCTATCTCTCTCCCTTCCTCTCTGTAAAAAATCAATAAAATATATTAAAAAAATAATAATAATACGAAAGAAAACGTGGACCATGAGTAAAAAATAGGAGATGCAAGGGTAGCACTCCAAATCTATATTTGAAACTAACTATAATGCTTAAAGTTAAAACGTTCAAAATAGCATTACATTTCCAGGAAAAAGACATCTGAAAAAGGTACAACCACACATTACCTATTTCAATTATGAGGATCAATATCAGATAGGATTAGTCTTACCAATATGGCGTTCCCACAAAAGAATTGGCAGGAGATGCCATGGAAGCAGATCCAAAGTCAGCAAGTTTCACCTGGCCTGGTTCTGTCAGAAGAATATTTCCTGCTTTGATATCTCTGGGTTTAAGGAACACATAAAATTATTTCTTTTTCTTTCATTAGATTATGTTGAAAACAATAAAATTCAAACAAAAATTTGTAAAGTAGGGAAGAAAAAATAAAAATAAGTTCTAGGATACTCTTTCAATTGGAATAGTAAGAATTAAGAACCAAATTAGAAAACAAAAAAATATAAAATTCATATAAATATATAGAAACAATTTTCTAAAAGAAAGGACAGAATAACAGTAAAAACAAAAGGTAGGAAATCAAACAACTGGAGCATATAATCTATATTTGAGTTCCTATTTACTTGTGCAAATAATGGTTTTAAAAGTAGAATTTAATTAGCTGGCCATTTCTTCATATAAGATTTCTGAGTACCCCACTTAATGTATAATAAAGAACCTCATGCCCAATTTTTCATTATTTAACTTAAAAATTTTTTAAATTTAAGTATAGTAATATACAATCTTATATTTGTTTATTAGTTTCAGGTGTACAATATAGTGATTTGACATTTGACATTTTTATACCTTACAATGTGATCACCCGGCTAACTGTAGTAATCATCTGTCACTGTGCAAACATATCACAATGTTATTGATTATAGTCCTTTTCCCCTTTTCAGCCATCCTCCCACCCATTCCCTTCTGGTAATCATCCCAATGATCGGTTTCTGTTTTGTTTTGTTTTAGATTCCACATATAAGTGAAACTATACAGTATTTCTTTCTCTGCTTAACTTATTTCACTGAGCATAGTACCCTCTAGACCAGAGGTAGGGAACCTTTTTTCTGCCAAGGGCCATTTGGATATTTATAACATCATTCGAGGGCCATACAAAATTATCAACTTAAAAATTAGCCAGCTAAATTTGGTCAAACATTTAATTAATTGACCCCTAATGCCTTGGCAGGGCCAGACCAAATGATTTCGTGGACCTTATATAGCCAATGGGCCAGATATTCCCCACCCCTGCTTTAGATTTATCCATGTTGTTGCAAATATGCCCCCAATTTCTACAAAGGGAATATTCATATCATTTACAAAGCTTAGCATAATCCATCTAACTTAATATGAAATGAAAACTGATGTATAAGGAAAATATACTATCAATGGTTTCAAATTTACTTTCAAGCTTACTTTTCTAAATCAGTAAACATACTCTCCACACAAACTAAGAAAATGATGGATATTTATATAATAGAATTTTATGTCCAATGGGTGCCATAATATACACTTAACCATTCAAGAAAAGAAAAACTTTATTTCCAAGCACTTGTCAATTCTTACTATAGTATTATGATGGATATAATACTAAATCTATTGTCCTTCTACTTGTTTTTTAAAAATGGAGAGGTGCCCGTCCGCGGTGGCTCAGTGGTTGAGCGTCAACCTATGAACCAGGAAGTTACAGTTTGATTCCCTATCAGGGGACATGCCTAGGTTGCAGGCTCGATCCCCAGTCTGGGGTGTGCAGGAGGCAGCCAATCAATGACTCTCTCTCTCTTTCTATTTCTCTCTCCCTCTCCTTTCTTCTCTGAAATCAACAAACATATATTAAAAAATTAAAAAGGAGAGGTGCTTTGAAGTTGAGAAGACCTTAGGTTCTAATTTTATCACTTTCGTATACTTACTAGCATGTGGGTTTCTCTTACTATTTTCATCTAAAAAATTGACAACCCATTAACTCACAATGACTCTACTACATAGTTTAATATGTATTGCCTGATTCACATATAAAATAAAAAAATGTTAATTTCCTTCTAAACCAGGCAAAAGCAATACCAATGCTAAAAATGCATTATAAAATGGTTTAAAGTTACTATCCATCACCATGGATTAATACTCAAAAGCATAAAGAGTCTTAAGTAGCTTTTTATTTGATTATTTATTTATTTTTGTTTATCCTCACCCAAGGATATTTTTCCATTGATTTTTTTAGAGAGAGTGGAAGAGAGAGGGGAAGACAAAAAATATCGATGTGAGAGAAACACATTGACTGATTGCCTCCTGCACATGTCCTGACCAGGGTCCTTGCCGGGGAGGAGCCTGCAATCAAAGTACGTGCTCTTGACAGGAATGGAACCCAGAACCCTTTGGTCCGCAGGCCGATGCTCTATCCATTGAGCTAAACCAGCTAGGGCTTAAGTAGCTTTAAAAAATATATATACTTTTATTGATTTCAGAGAGGAAGGGAGAGAGAAATAGAAACATCAATGATGGCAGAGAATAACTGATTGGCTGCCTCCTGCATGCCCCTACTGGGGGTCCAGCCCGCAACCCGGGCATGTGCCCTGACCAGAAATTGAACTGTGACCTCCTGGTTCATAGATTCATGTTCAACAACTGAACTATACTGGCCAGGCTTAAGTAACTTTTATATATCCCTGTTACAGAATCAATGGAACAAATCTGGCATTATCAGTTACCAGGAAGAAAAAGATCTAGGTTTAATTCTAGTTTAATCTACCTAAGCTTTTTAAACTTGGAGATATTAGTAACAAATTGGGGCATCAGTTTTTTCATTTGTAAAACGAAAAAAGACTACATAATCCCTAATGGCCTTTTCCATTTTGCAAATTAAATAATTCTGTAATTAAATTGCTACCTCAAATCTATCAAGTACACATGCTTCAGAAAGCCCAGCAGCATGTGTAGAAAAGATAAAATTATCCTAAACATAGAGATCAAGTGTACCAGTATGTTCTTTTTAAGGCAATCTAAAAAATATGAGTTTATAAGATTCTGAAATGCTTTAACCAATGAAAATTTCAGAGGTAATGAGTTCCAGGTTGATATAAGCAACAAACCATTTGCTTATTAATACATGACAATTTTCAATGTACTTACCTATGGATCATAGTATGTGAATGCAAGTAGGCTAATCCCTGGAGAGCACCATGTGTAATTGCTGCTATTTCCACTTCTTGTAATGGCTTTTTGTGAACTTAAAGTAAGAATTTAAAAATAATTATTATATAGAACATTTTTAAAATAATAAATATACATATCTGATATAGAGAGAGCAATTTTAAAACACTAACATTTAGCAACAAGGGATTTGCTTCCCAAGATATACTAGTAATACAAAGCTACTGAATGTTATAACTAGTACCAATTGTGCCTTGCTGTTAAAGTAGAGGTTACAGCCAATATTCCTCAAAGCTAACAACATTTAACAATTATTTGGTGATAATAAAAAAAAGAGAAGTTTTCCCTTTATTCTCAGATATTTTCATTCAGAACAGAAGGAACAGATCAAGCTGAATGACAAAGAATGCAGAAAAATGCTCATTAAGGCAAAATGAGAGAAAATTCACCGATGTTATACTATACTAGAGGCCCGATGTATGAAATTCATGCAAGAGTAGGCCTTCCTTCCCCCAGCTGCCAGCACCGGCTTCCCTCTGGCACCCAGGACCCAGGTTTCCCTTGTAGCCTGGGCTTTGTCCGAAAGGACGCCCGGAAGGACGTCCAGTCTAATTAGCATATTACGCTTTTATTATTATAGATAACATTAAATGAGGATGGTATATACCATGCTGAGATTCTAGAAAAAGTTAAGGCTTTCACTGTTTTGAAAAGTTTTATGTTATTTAAGAAGTCTCTTACTGAATTCTTATTTTATTTTGCTAATGCTTTTTTTTTTTCTTAATATTTAAAGGAAACCTACCTTCCAGTAAATCTGAAGCAGATCCTAAACAATATTCCATTACAAGCTATATGGGAAGAAAAATTATAAAAGCATTAAAATATATTATTAAAAAGACTCTATTTGAGATAAATTCACCAAGGAGATCAAGAAGATAGTTTGAAATAAAACAAACTCTAGTCATTATTTACCTTAAAAAATATTTATGCAGTTAGCAATTTGTTAAATGCATTTATAAGGTTAAGTCAATGACAAGATGTGTATTTCATACATAATTACTAACTAAAATTATAAAAGAATATACATATTCTGTTACTATTAACCTAGAGTAGTAATAATGATTGTTAGGAAACAGAAAACTGTCCTCTGGGACTATATGTACAAAGCTTAGGTTACAGTTTATTTTTAAACTTTTTAAGAATGTATGTTTTTAGTGGTTTTCAAGAGGAAGGGAGATATAGAAACATCAATGATGAAAGAAAATCACTGATCGGCTGGCCTCCTGCACACCTTCCACTGGGTATTGAGCCCACATCCCGGACATGTGCTCTGACTGGGAATCGAATCAATAACCTACTGGTTGATGGGTCAGTGCTTAACTATTGAGCCACACCGGCCAGATTTAGGTTACAGTTTAAATTTTTCATTTAAATCAAACACAGAGCAAAATCAAACTGGATAAAAATGCAGCAAACATTACAAATCTAAATCTAACTTCAATCCACTAGAATGATAACAGCTCTGGCTTATTAATTATTCAAAATAAAGGATCATTCCTGTTTAATGAAAATTTAGCCCTTTTCTTAAAAGATAGTTATTATGTCTATACCATTATGGGATTACTACATTATCACCTCAGTGGTAACAACAGGGTAAAATTAATCTCTACTTCATGTAATAATTCTCTACCTTTAGTATTACTCAGCCAAGTAATCACAATTAATTCAAATTTCACCAGGATTCACCAAGACTCCACCAAGAACTTTGTGGTTAAATAGATTATAATACATCATGTCAAAAAGATGTAACTTTCATCCTTTAGTAATAGAATTGTTTTTACAATGTTTGAGAAACCATTTAGTAGTTTGATAAACTACTAAAAAAATTTCAGAGAACATTTTACCATGCATATAAAGGCCAGCGAAATCTCTATAGTAAAATTGCAAAAGTTTTTATTGCTTAGGGAAAGGAGTTCTAGGAAAAGCTACTCTTCCTTTCTCAGTATGAAATAACATTTCAAGGTGTTTTTGCAAGCTTCACAGGACAATTCTGAGACATTCTTTTATTTTTTGGTTAATCCTCACCCAAAGATATGTTTTTCCATTGATTTTTAGAGAGAATAGAAGGGCGAGAGGGAAGGAGTTTGGGAAAGAAACACTGAGTGAGAGAGACAGATCAATTGGTTGCCTCCTGCACATGCCCCGACCAGGACAGGGAATGCAACCCAGGTAAGTGCTGCCCTTGACCAGTAATGGAATCCAAGATCCTTAGGTATTCGGGCTGAGTGAGGGTCTAGCCACTAAAAACACACCAGCCAGGGTGAGACATTCTTAATTTCATTAATTATATGCCCAAACCAACTAAAATTAAGGCAAGGGGAGAGCAGATACCTACCCATGCTGTGTGCTCACGTAAATAGCAGCCTTTATATTCTATACTGTTGGGATGTTTTATTCTTTGTAGAAACTTGACTTCTTTAATAATATCCTGCCATTTCTATGGGGAGAAAAAAGGGAATAAAGGAAAGAATTATGAACAGCTGCTTTTCCTTAGAAATGTATATAAGAAAGAAGTAATTACTAGATTAAGGGTTAATGAGAGCATACAGCTTTGCCTTATTTGTAATATTTAAATTAAATGTCAAAATAATCAATTTAAGAGGAATTACATTCATAGTTTATAATCAATTACATAATTTATAAAATTATTTCATTCAAGGTAGGACAAATGTTTGATAAAATTTATCATAAATAAGTCTTATTAATATTTTACAACTACACACTACACATTGGTGAAAACAATGTACCATATTTAGTGATTTTTCATCAAAATTCAACTTCCCTTTTCTTATCTGAAGCTTTACTGACATAATCTACATACCATAAAGTTCACCTATCATGTTTCTGGCTTATATCTTCTACCAAATGTTAAGGTTTTGTTTGTTTTTTAAACTCAAATGAAGTCATTACTCTGAGACAAATTCATAAATGCACATTACTTTCTAAAATGCTAGTGAACAATTAGTTGTTACATAGAAAAGTTCACAGAAAAAAACAAACAATATGAAAACATTTTCCTACATATTTTACTAAGAGCTTTCTTCATTAACACCTATCCAGCAATACAGATAAACCATTGGCCAGAACAATATACTTAGGCCATATTCTAAACAGAGTTAACTCTTAAGAAGCAATCAGGGAACTCTAAGGACCCAACCAGGTTCTTTGGTCTACAGACTTAGTAGGTGTAAGATGGGAAGCAGGAATCTATTTTTTGTTCTTGTTTTAGTTTTTTAAAGCTTTACCCCCAACTTGGGTCATATTTCTAAAGTCAGAGAAACTAGCATAATAGAAAACTTTAAAAAACATTTTGTACTAGAATTTAAGATCATATATCTCCTATATTATTTAAGAAGTCCTCAACAAAATACAGCAAAATAGCTGCATAATATTTTAAGATATAAGATGCAAAATTCAGAGTTTCATGGGCTTTAATTCTCAAATTTGAATGCTCTGGGAGGCAAGCTCTCAAAACAAAACACCTGTATTCTTCAATGTAAAAAAAACACACAAACTTTTATAAAGGACACTAATATTGGACGTAAAAAAATGATGTCCTAAATGAAACTTTTTCTTCTAGGTGTGCCTAATCAGACGCCAACATAGTACACGTCTTCCTGTGAAAGCTAGTTCTAAAGTTGTGTGAGAGAATGGTGAATAAAATCAGAGTAAACTTGTAAGAAATGGAAATGGGGATTTTTTTTGGAGTTTTAGGAATTTCTAGGAATCGAAATGATGGAACACCAATATAATCATGATAGTGTCATTGTACCCAGAGTATGATCACAAAAACAAGATTTAGCATAAAATGAAGAGATTCAGAAAAGGTAGAAACCCAAAATCATTAAAAATTAAAGACTGATTCAGAAATTCTACCTCTGAGCACATACCCAAAAGTATTGAAAAGCAGGAACTCAAAGAAATATTTGCATACCCATGTTCATAGCAGCATCATTCACAATAACCAAGGGATAAAGGAACCCAAGTGTCCATCAACAGAAGAATGGATAAACAAAATGTGGTGTTTTATATACATACATACACACACCACAGGAATTATTATTTAGCTTTAAACAGGGAGGAAATTCTGACATATACTACAACATGGATAAGCTTTGAGGGCATTATGTTAAGTAAAAAGGACATGATTCACTTATATGAGTTAACCTAAACTAGTCAAATTCATATAGATACTAGAATGGTGATTTCTAAGTACTGGAGGAGGGGAAAACAGGAGTTGTTATTAGAGCTTCAATTTTGCAAGATGAAATTAAAAGATTTCTGGAGATAAATGGTGGCGGTGTTTAGACAGCAATATGAATATCCTTAATGCCACTGAACACTTAAGAATGGCTTACTGGTAAATTTTGTGTATTTTGCCATAATTTAAAAAAATTTTAAATTAAAGACTGACACGTCCTACATTTTATAAAATAAATTTAGGCAATTAAACAGAATAAATATAATGTCAAAAGAACTAATCAGAATATTAGTGAACTAACGTATACTCAATGTGGTATCAATTTTATATTATAGTTTTTCAGATTATTACACACCACCTGTTTTTCAGACTACATCTATACTGCCTGTTATTTAAAGTTTGTTTAAAACTGCAGTTAATCTCTAAACCATTAAAAAATTATATCCAATATATTTACTGTGAAATACATCTTATTCTAGTTTACTATTTTAGAAACTGATAATCCCTCTATGACAAAAATAGAATAATATATTAAGTAACAGTTTAAAAAACTGAAAGCAGGGGGCACAAGTTGGGAGGCTTTGGGGATGCCAGTAATGCTATTTATAGTTCTAGGTCCAAGTTAAATGGGTACATTCAGTGTATGAAAGAAAACTCACTGAAATATACACTTAATATCTGTACACTTTTCTTTATGTATGTTATACTTTTTGGAAGAAATTGCCACCTACCCCCAATTAAAAATAGTATGCCTTTCTCTAACATACCAGTAAAAATGTATATATTTCACCACCTACCTCAGTAGACTGCTTTCCACTATAAGACATTTTTTTGATAGCCACCACTTCATTGGTACGCACATCTCGTGCCTAAGGAAACAAAGAAGAACCACTGTACATTAACAGATTAAATCTGGGCAATCATTTTTCAGAGAATAAAAGCATTTATAAACTATCATGTCAAAAAGGACATGAACATTGTTTTTTAAAGAACATTAAAAAATAGTAACTCTGCAACAAAAATGTATCAAATTAGCTGATACTTTAGAAAGAAAAAAAACAGGTTTATCTTTGAGTAGTCTAGTTAAGAGGAAAAATATAGAAATGTGAATAGAACTATAAACAAAGAGACAAAACAAGACTAGTATATACAAGTCTATGCTAATAAATTTTGAAATCTCAATGAAATGGACAATTTCTAGTTAAGAATAAATTACCAAAACTGATCTAAAGAAAATGTAAGCAAAACAAACAATAGTGGCATACTGTAAAGAATACCAATGAATTATAGTTAAAATAGTTTTGAGTGGAAAATAATTTTACCAGGGAAACCTTCCAGGACATAAGGGGGGAAGAAAGGGGAGAGGAAAGCTATGCTATTAATTTTATGAAGCCAGTATAATCCAATAACTAAAACTTAACAAACAGCACAAAATAGAAAGTTGGGTACCAATTTCATTTTTATTTTTTTAAATATATTTTATTGATTTTTTACAGAGAAAAAAGGAGATAGAGAGTTAGAAACATCGATGAGAGAGAAACATCGATCAGCTGCCTCCTGCACATCTCCCACTGGGGATGTGCCCGCAACCCAGGCACATGCCCTTGACCGGAATCGAACCTGGGACCTTTCGACGCTCTATCCACTGAGCCAAACCGTTTTCCGGCCCAATTTCATTTTTAAGTATAGATGATAATTTCGAAGTAAGAAGTTAAAGAATATTACCGTAACTTAACATAGACATTCATCCTGAGAGTTTTTATTAAGAAAGAGAAAGCAATAACTCGTATAAAAAATCAAGGTCACCCGGGTGAACCAAAATAATTAGCGATGACTATTATGGAAGATGAGAGGGATTGGAGGGGATCGAAAATTAGACGTAACGTAGTCTGAAGGTCCTCTCCGTGTTGCCGGTATAGTAGGCTTGACTACAAATAAGAGATGGCCGAAAAGGAAAGGGGGAGGAGATGGAACAGAATGAAGTGAGAACGACAGAGAGGAAACCAAGGGAAAATAATATAATTATCTTATTTTATATAGAATACGGAAGAGAACTAAAAATGAGAAGACGTATGTGA